CACACCACAGAAGGCTCGACAAATGTTCTCTCTTTTTCTGTTTATCAGCCTGGACATGACCCCTGCTCTTTCCATTTTAGTAAACTAGTCAATATGAATTAAAAATAGAAAACCAATTCCATCTATCAGGCAGCTTTCCCGGAACCTTTTCCAGGAGTTAGATAATTTCATTGGATTGTTCACATTGTCCAGTAAGTAGAAGATTTTGCCACTCTAAGGTGAGAAAATACACAGGCCAGATCGTTGGTCATATAGCATTTACAGGTTAAAATATGTCGCTTTACAGACAAACTGAAAACCTGTTGTTCCTGTCCCGTTTACCAGGGGTCCCTACTGGAAAATTAGAGACAGCAAAGTTAAATTTCATGTTGCCAGGTACAAAACAGCTTTCAGATAAATGAGTTCATCCTTGCACAATCCAAGTAGCTTTTTAACACTGCATTGTTTTAATCGGTACATCGAAATGCTGGTGTGTTTTAATCACTTGTTTGAAGGCAATGCCAACTAAAGTAGTTTAAGAGGAGTCCTGCAAATGTCCTTATAAATGTCCAGTTCTAAACCAATATAAATTTTCATTTTTTAACAAACCTGGGGCTCACAGTCTCCTGATCCTGAAGATTATAAGTAAAGATTCCTAGGTTTGGCAGGTATCTGTAACGCCTACAGCCAGACTCATTAGGAGAAAGGATTGAAGCCCTATTTGGAAAAAAATAATTTGCAAAACATTTCATTAAAACAATTTATAATACACAACCACAACATGACTTGAATGTACAGTGGTTACTTTCAAAAAGTAACATAGTCATCTTTGCATTTTTGTCATTGTTTAAATATTTAAAAACAGAAAAAGATTCACGTCTGTTGAGGCATGACATAAGAATATCATTAAGGGTCCTTTAGGCATGAAGTGACTCTAGTCTTGGGTGAAGAAACAGATTTAAAAATGGATTATTTCGAAATACCCATGTACAAAATAACCAAAAGATGTTACAGAAGTATAGCAAACACTTTCTTGTCTATTTCTTGCCTTGAAAGTTTTTTTTGTTAAAAAGCATATTTGTTCATTTGTTCAACTAAAACTTTATTTATTTGATGGATTTGCTGTTTGATAATAGCTCAGCATTCTTACTGTTGCATACTGTACTTCATCTAAAATAATTTTAAAAATCATCCATATTGCTTTGGTTGTTTCTTATATTATTGAACACTAACACAGTTTTTCTTTACTTTGAAATGATAACAGACAGCAAGACCAAATGATAAGTTGTTTAGCTTGATTAAAAATATTTAGTCATTGCCTAATAACCTTGTTTGCTTTCTGACTTTTTGTGAATGAAATCTGAGTTATGCGGCTTGGTGGTACAGTGGTTACTATTGTCCTTGGGTTCAATTCCAGACCTGGGGTGCTATCTGCATGGAGTTTGTACAGTATGTTCCCCCCATATTTTTGTGGGTTTCCTCCAGATGCTCTGGTTTCTTCTTACAGTCTGAAGACACTGGTACAGTAGGTTAATTGGCTGTGGTTTCAGTTTGTGTGTCTATGTGTGAGCTGCAATGGACTGGCATCCCATTAAATGCTGGGATATGCCATGGCTCCCCTGTGACCCTCAATTGGAAGAGCCAGTCAGAAAATAAACAAATGTATTAAAAACCCCTATTGCAGAAACCTATACTCATAATCCAATCCTTTTCCTCATGAAACAGATACATAAAAACCCATTAGGGAGCTGAAAGGAAACCTACGTCTCCTGGGGAAAATCTGAGCATGTGAGCACCACATCCCTGCCTGAGATTGAGCCCAGGACCCCAGATCTGTGAGGCAGAAACTGTAAAATGTTTACTTAAAACTGACCAAAAAGTTTCCAATGGGCCTACTTTTCCCAAAAAGATGCCGAGTGATCAAATAACAAAGGGTGTCACCGGACAGTAATGTAATTGTGTTGAGAAGTGGACTGAGTGCGAGAGGGTGGAGGGAGTGTTAACGAGCTGCCAAGCCGTACAGTATTGTCGATTCCCTGGCTTCTTTCAAGAAATGGCCGAATGAGATCTTCCGATCGTTTCGCTGTTAGTATTCAGAAGAGCTAGATGTGCTGAATAACCGGCCTGCTCTCATTCTGAAGAAGATCGGATTTTAAGCGTCTTAGATAACAAGAGCGGAAATGAGGCCACCTTCTTGATGACCTATTTTGTTGATTGCTTACTACTAATCAGTTTTCCTAATTTGGTTCCCTGGTGCTCCTGGAAATCTTAGTTTCCTGAGCTGTTCCCAAAGTTACATACACAGGGCTGTGGTTCACTTAGATATTTCTTTACAATGGAGATTTATAATAAATATTTTTTCTGTTTTTCATATTATGTCTGCCTTGTGATCTCAACGTCACTGCCAAAGAGATTCAAGAGCAGACAAGGACTGTGTTCACAGTGGAAAATAAATGAAACCAACCCTTTTCTTCTGTGGGTTCTCTAATCTCAGCCCTTAAGTTCTGTATTTCCCTTTGGTATTTTTCTCACACTGACGTGTAGAATTATATCATCTTGAAGAGGTTCCCCATCGCCTAGTGATATCACCTTGCACTTCACATCCTTTGTAAGAAATAAATCATGCTTAATTTATTGCCTTAATAAAACAAGTCTTTCCACCTGTAAAATGGACAATTTGAAACCTTTTTGCTCAATTATTGAAATTTAAATTGCAAAGGCTAACCACTATACAGTATATAAGATACATTTGCAGCGATGCAGTTCACAGTACTTCTTAAGCCTCACCTTTGTCAAAGCAGGGGAAGAAGAATAATAATACATGATGTGGCAGCAGAGAGACTAATCCTTGACCAATTTCTAAGGGATCTGTGGACGGCAATGGAGACAATTACTATAACTATTGAGTTCTCTTTATACTGAATTTCTACTTCCCATCCATCATCAGAAAACTGTGGAGTTGGCAAACTGGGGCCTATTGCACAAGGTGGGTAGAACATGCAATCTCCACACAGATAGGCCCCTGAGGTCAGAATCGAATCCATGATCCTTGGACTGTGAGGATGCAGTGCTATCTACACAGTCTTTTTATCTTTACAAAAGATAAAAAAAAGTTCTTAATTAGATGATGAGGTGAAGGTTCTTGAATCAGTTAAGAATTAGCAGCAGACTAAGTTGTAATTGTGTCACTTTGTCTGGGCTCTTGTTTTGCACCATTTCATATACTCTGTGCTGTGTTTTACTGTTCCATTTCTTCTCAGGGTCCTGTTCCATTTTGTTTCAGTGCTATATCCTTGTTTTGTATAGCTGTGGACTTGGGGCCTTATATTCTAAAACACCTAAGCACAAGTGTTCTTAATATACTGTACTGTAGGTCCCTTAAAGGTTTGGAGGCTTGGCTTTCAGAGGGGAAACTGGGAGAGACATCTTCCCTTGTCTGGTTGGGATTTCCAGCTGAAGGAGAGTCTCAGATTACGTATCCTGTCAAGTGCTCAGTGATTCTCTGTTTCTACTTCAGTTTAGAACATACACAGGCAGACTGACAGCTGTCAGTTCCCACTATATAAGGCTTCTGAGAAGCATCTTCATTCTGTGCAACAAGGAATGGATCAAAAAACGAGTCTGTACTAGATTTGGAAGCGTGGTTGTGTGGCTGTTATCACTGATGCCTCATTGCCATTGAGTTTGGGATTAGATTCTGCACAGGGCATGGAAAAACATGTATTCTCCACTCTCCACAATTCTGTGTGGAGTTTGCATGTTTTCCAAGTGTTTCTGTGGGATGTCACTGAAAACCTGGTTTCCTCCCTCTGTAAAGAGTGCCAAGTCTCTAAATTGCCCCTGTGTGTGATAGGATGATGGGTTGTCATACTATCCAGAGTGTCATCAAATCTTGACTCTTTGTTTCTGGGATCAGCTCTGAGTTGCTATAACTGTTATCTATCAGGTACAAGCAGCTTTCTGACAATGGATGTATACTGGAATTGCTTGTTGTTGTAATGAATAAGTCTTCAGTTTTTCAGAACGTGTCTCACCTGTAGATTTCTGCTTCCTAACCTAAGTCTGTCATAAGCATTTGCAAAGAATTGAAATGCAGCAGTACAACCTTTAGAAAATAATGAATTGTGCGTATTCTTGTTGGTTGTTCAAGCCGCACAAATCCAGATGAAGATTTCCTTTATGTTTATTCCAAAAGGGTTGAATCGTACAAATATCGGGAGCTGGAGTTTTTTCTTCATCAGAAGTGAATAATAACTTCTCATCGCTTTTAAGCCTCTGAGAAGTCATCTCAGGGGAAGACAAAGCAGAGCAGACAGAGCAAAGTGGAGGCGTGCTTTGTGCAAAAAGAATGAAAGTTGCACAAGACAGGAATCACATTATCAACCGCTTCTCATTCTGATGTATATTTAGATAAACATGTGGCTTCTAACTCATTAGTTTCCAGCACTGGGCATTTTTATAAGCTTGTGTACAAGACTAAAGAAAGAAATAACACCGGCATGAAGATGCACAGGAAGAAATACTTTAGATATTCTAATTGTAACACTCAGTTAACTATATCTTCTCAGACAGACCACCTTGTTAAAACCCTTTTATATAAAACTACGAGACCCCCTGTTATGTAAATAGCTTGAATCCTTTATAAGGAATAAACCTTTGAGCAGCAAATGATTTTTAGTACCCTATGACCCTGGACTTACACCCCTCAAGGTTGAAAAAAGGGAAAAAATGTTCTACTTTATTGCCTATATATCAGTAATAAACAGTTTTGTTTGCAAAAGTCTTGCCAAGAGTAAACAGCAGATGTTTGAGCGTTCCTATTGAGAAACCACTGATTTCTGCACTGAAGACTAGGGGCAAACCATCACGTTCACCACACGGCCCCTATTCTCTGGGGGGGGGATTAAAACAGAGCTTTGAAAAAGAAAGAAAGGCCTGAGTATCAATGGCAGATCTAACAATTTCAATAATGTGAACACTCTTGGGCCCTGATATTTATACTTCTATTCTTCTTTTTGCAGCATTTCAAAATAACTCATACTACCCTCAAAACAACACATCCGAAGCGACAGCTAACCATACAGACACTGCCAACGAAAGTAAGTTTGCTTTTCATTAAATTAAAGTGACATACCCTTATTAAACAGGGGCTTGATTCTTGCAAATGTTTCTGTTTAACGCTTCATGTTGCCTCTTTCTCCCATCATAGATCCTGGGCTTTATTGACCCGTGACTACCTGACAATAGTCCTGCTTGATGATCACAACATCCACATGCACACTGATGACATTCCTTATAGCCCACAAACACTCACTCAAGTCATGAAGTGCAGAAGCTGGGAACTTGAGTCAGACGAGTATGATTGGAAACAAGGGGAGGCCATCTGTCCCATCTAGCTTGTCTGATTTTTTGGCAGTATCCTAAGGGATCATCTGGCCACTTGTTGAAAGAAATAGGGTTTTGGGTTTTAAAATCATGACTGGGAAGCTTGTTCCAGACTCCCACCACCCTTTGGGTAAAAAAGTGTCTCCAGTTCCCAGTTTTAAATTCACTTTCATGCAGTTTCCACTTGTACCTGGTTCATGTTTCACTCTTGATTGTGAACGCATTCAGTGGCTCTAGCAGTGGCCTTTGAGGAGTTTGAATACTGATCATTAAAGTGAACAACAGGAACAGTTTCTGAGCAGATATTGGGTTCCCATACTGTATACTGTGTTAGTAAAATGTTTTTAAAAAGTTTCTTCATTGTATTTTGATAAGAATATAGCTATACCATTTTTCAAATTTAAGAATACAGTCTTTCCAATGGACAATATACTGTATACTGTATGGCTTTCTGTGTAATGATTTAACATACAGTAATTCTGCATAGACTTGAAAACATTTTCATTTTATTTTGTTTAAAAAAAATGACCTTATTTGCAGTTCCTAATCCTTTAGAGCCATTCTCTGGTTTTGTGGGTTATACAATAAGTTAAACTATGAGCATAGCTTCAGTTTAATTTCATAAAACAATTACTTCAGCAATAATGCGTTTCCTTGGACTAAGACACAAGACACCAAGCAGGGCGCTGTTGGATAAAACATTTATGATTCTAAACTATTAAATATTGAACTTCCGATTGTGAAAAGGCGATAAAGAAAGTAAATAAAATACATTAAAGGGTTCATGATCTTAATACATTCAAGGCTATGGAGACCGTTATGGTATTTTAATTCTTCTGAGATATTAATCTTTTGTTCTTTAAAAGTGAATTTAAAATGTCCTTGGTTTTTGTTTTTTAAAATCTGCCTGGGTTCTGACACATTTTGAGGTGATGCAATGCTTTAACCAAACTGTAGACAGAGATGTTGGTCTGAGTCACATCAATTGTTTTCACTCTTTAGCCCGAAGGAGCATTTCTACTTATGATTCATGGAAAAGGCCACATGATTTAGGTATTAATGAGGTAATTCCACTCGTTTAGATAAATAAATCTAATTGACAAAACTTTCTTGCACTCCATTTGACAAATCATCAGACACATTCTACACAAAGAGAGAAAAGTTTTTACTAAGTGCACAAAACTCTCTACCTCCTTTCAGAATTAACAACATACTTAATGACAGGAGATAATTAAGGAGACAAACTATGTGTACAGCTGGACCACACTTTACATCTGCATCTATCAACTATATACCCCAGTATATGAATAATATTTGTCTATTGTTTGGTAATACACGATAACTTTGAAGATATGAAATCAAGTTTTTGAACCCTTCCAACAGTCCATTTGATGGTTACTGCCCTTGTGTGTGTTTAACCCTTGTTGAATGGGTTGTAAAAGTCTCTTCCCTGAGTGCTGGCTGACACTGGAAAAAAAGGCTATAGGAGCTCCGTAAATAGAGAGTGTTGTGTGTGCTACCCAAGAACATTCTCTTGGTTATTACTGGACAAACCCTGGATTCGCTACAGTTCATCGTGGAGCGAAACAGACTGGCCGTGACAAATTCGCCAACACTTTGAGAAGTTTGATTGCCTATTGGATAGTGGTAATGTTTGAGTGAAAATGATGAAGCAAACATTTCAAAACTGCACACAAAACGTATGATGTGGACTTTCCCGATAAAAGTAAGTTACAGAAAAGCAGCAGTCGGTTTTCACGAGGCCTAATACTGTACAAGATGGAAAGCGGCAATCATCGCAGGGTTCTGTGTGAACCACGTCCTGGCTTAACACAAAAAAGTCATTCAGGGATTGAGAAGTAATAAAAAAAGTGTTTGTTGAGGCTGCTGACTTGCTGCTTGGAGATTTCAAAAACAAACATTTTTGGCAAGGTTCAGACAGCTGTTGCCTGAAATCAAAGAGTTCCTCAAGTGGTCTAAACATGGTGAATATGCCCAATTAGAGGATGACCAGTGGCTTCTGGACTTAGCATTCCTCACAGACTTGACTGAACCGCTGAATGAGCTGAATGTCGAGCAAGGACAAAACAAAAATGTCATCGACATTATCAGCAGTGTCAAAAAAAAATTACAAGTTTTCTCAAGTAAGCTTCTCAGTGCCAATGCCCACATTAAGGTAGGATATTATTTTTTCTAAAATGGGGAACATTACTGGTTCACTGCAGCAGGAGTCACTTGCTTTTATTTGCTGTAATTTTAGTGATGGGTATCGTTATTGTACTGATGTGCCCACAGTTTGTTTTCCTATATCAGAACTTCAAATTTACATTGGTAGATTGTGCTGGACTGGCAAATGAAAAAGTAGATCTTACATTAAAAAAAGTTGGGCACCCCTGCTATAACTACTCCTGTCGGTGTGCCTGACAAGTGTATTCTATGGTTTCAAACCACCAGAAGCTTTGGAGTGCTCAATTTCTAAAAACAGCATTTTCACCCCATGTCCTCTGTAGTTTGCAGACAATGGCACGTTTTGACATTTTTGCAGGAAATGAGTCACAGGAAGCTGTGGTGAGCTGCAACAAATTCAAATTCTATCTTGATACTCTGCCGTTGCAAGAATCTTTGTATTACCGAAAGGAAGCTTCTGGGCACTGGAGATGGAAGGTCTCACCTCACGCAGTACCATCCTCTAATAAGTACTCACTGCCTGGCTAGACTGGGAAGAGCAAACTGCCCAAATGTGTTCAATTACATGTACTGTATAGAGGATGTCTTTGTCATCTTAGATTATTGGACAATAACAGCAACAAAGGTTAATAGTAACAATAAGAGTTGTTTTTTTATTTATATTTCTATCCTTAGAAGACACTTTTTACAAACTGCCAAACATCAGACCGTCAGTTCCTGGCCAAACAAGTTATAGGCTTGTCCCAAAAACTGTTTTGTTTAGTAATATTATTTTTATTTGCCCTACTTGTCGTGTCCAAATAACTCTTTTAACATTGATAAATATACTGTGGAATTTGCCATAATCTATTTGACTGTTTTGCAGGAGGTTTCACATCCCAGTAACTGGTATTATTGGTTAGATGAGGAAACAGTGTGTATCTTGTGTGACATGCAGGAAGAACTTGGAAAATGTGAAAGATCACATTCGATGGTACTGTACTACAGGTGGCTAAGAGAACAAATTAAATCAATCCAGTTACAGAGAAACGTATTTGTTTTCACACAAAAATGTTATTTTCAGAAAATCATTTTCAAGTACAGTATCTTAAGGAGACTGACTATTTGGTGCCGAGTACTGAGGCACTGGTTTGAAATTTCTGTTCAAACAGTACAGAGCCACTTACTGGTCCACTAATGTCACAGTAATGTTGTTTTCTTTTGATATCCTTTTTCTGCCATGAAAGTGCTGACTAGATGTTGTCTTCCTGAGTTTCTAAGAATTCTCATTAGGTCAGGCTTCAAAGTGAGTTATCATGCATAAAAATCATATTTGTTTTTTTAAAAAGATTTTAGATATTAGACATAACATCCATCATTGCTAACCAGGTATGAGTGGAAAAACATACACATTTTGAAAGCTGTTGTACCTGGAATTTTAGCTGATGAAACAAACCTGTCACCTTCTTCACATATTATGAGTCACCTCTGCAATATTTAAATCCTCACCATTTTCTCAAAGTTGCAGAAACAGTCCAAGATTTTTCAGCCTTTGTTAAAATACAAAGGGTTTGAATCATCTTCTGTCACTGCTTCCATTGATGTTTCTGTGCTCTGCTCACTAGGGCTGTTCATGGCTTCACATCAGGCCTCCAGGACTCATTAGGTCACACTGCCAGACACTGATGTGTTTGTGCCTGCTCTTCTTTGTGCTGGTGTTGTGCCACAGGTTGATAAAGTAAGAAAGACTTTCCCCTCAAGGAAACGTATGTACTGTATTTGCTTTGATGTGGGAATGTAGCGTAACTGGCACTTCTAATATGACATTGTTATACAGACTGAATATTATGTCCGATTACTGCTAAACAAGTATTAGGAAGTAAATTGTTCCTCTGCTTTTTCCCATTCAGCTGAGCACCTCATCTCTATATTTAAATTATCAAAGACATGCTCTGGGACTCTAGAGGTTCTTCACAATGGGACTTGGATTCCAGTAATACTTACTCCAGGATCCAGTAATGAACCTGCAAACAGAATCTGTAAAAAACTGGGATGCGGAAAATACTTTCACCGGGATGATAATTCATCACAATACACTGATGGAGAAAACAGAGAAGTCCAGAACACCTCATACCAGATGGAATGTATCTTTGAGAGCCTGGATGTTCTGAAATGCAAACATGTTTGGGAAAGAAATTTTACAAATGTGACAGAGATCTTTTGTGGTAACATCAGAGTTTTTATGTCCTTTGTTGCCGCATTCCATAATTTAAACAGAAGGGCTATTGTCCTGAATTTCCATTAGAACAAGGTTGTTCAGATATAAAGAGGTAGCATGTTTAATGTTTGTATATCCTCCCTGCATTAATGAGGTGGTAGGAAAATGCTGATGTTTCACATTGTAGAGCGTACACTCTAATTACATGTTGCTGAGCTACAACAGGGATTGATTTTTACTAACCAGCAAGTTGACTGAGACACAATTGCAGGATTAAACACAACCTTTAATGAGTGTAATGATTCTTACAGGCCTGTATCAAGGCAAACCTGCGAGAGAAATGGATCTCCAAATCAGCCCTCACTCTCACAGTCATACTTGAGCTCAAAACAGTAACCCCAATAATCATTAGTTTGACTTTTTGGTTCTGCTGGTAATAGGCAATGTTCTACATGTAGGATCCCCCTACACGCTATGTTCCATCCACATACTGTAATTCTTTGCTTGTTAGCAAGTTTGCAGCAGAATAAAAGTAATCACAAAACAGATTCTGGAATTGGGGGCTGCATTGCATATGACTGCAGCTGGAGGAAAACCAGCCTGTAAATGTATGTAGCACAACGCAAATATTTTGACCCTATTTAATTTCTTCTAATTTTAGGCTTTTAGCATCTGACATGTAGACATACTACAGCTCTCCCCATATCCCAGAGTTCTAGCCGATAATCTGAGAAGAGATCACATTTCTTAGTTAAAGTGTACATTTCTTGAAATAATCTTCAAATAGGCACCAGTAATTCTACTATACGACCGAGTTTGAACAAGGGCTCCAGAGAGCTATTGGTTATGACACACTGCTGTTCTCTTACTGGTCTTTTGCTTGTCACTCAGGACACCAGGCCGTGCGATTGGCGGGAGGCTCCGAGCGCTGTGCTGGGAGAGTAGAGGTGTGGGAGGCGGGACAGTGGGGAACAGTGTGCGATGACGAGTGGGACATCCAAGATGGGCATGTGGTGTGCGCCCAGCTGGGCTGCGGATTCGCTGTGGAGGTGACACACAATGCCACTCCCTTCGGAAAGGGGCTGGGACCAGTGTTACTGGACGACGTCAACTGCACCGGCACGGAGCCCAATCTATGGAGGTGTCCTTCACAAAAGCTCAGTGGGGACTGTGGGCACAAAGAAGATGCTGGAGTTGTGTGCTCAGGTACAAACAGCTGATGTTTAGGAGCCTGAACCATGTAACCTCCCATTTGACCCCTGCACTCTGCATTGAAAGCTGTTGAATTGCAACTTGTAAAAGGGTTAAACAGTGAGTAATAAGTTGCTTTACTGAAAACATTTTAGAAATGCATTATTGTGTACAGTAAAATACTATACTTCTAGGTATATGTCTATTTGCTCTTTAGCAAATATCCCGTGCCAATATCTTTTCATAGTACTTACATCTACGATACACACAGACAGATGTCCCTTGTGTCTGTGGAGGCGGTAGAGGATGCGCTGTGTGAGTTCTGATGTGGTTTTCTGCCTCTTCCCCAGAGCACAAGGCCGTGCGGTTGACCGGTGGGTTAGACCGCTGTTCCGGGCGAGTGGAGATCCACCGGAATGGGAGCTGGGGAACAGTGTGTGACAATGGGTGGGACAAGCAGGAATCAGGCATGGTCTGTGCCCTGCTAGGCTGTGGCCCCCCTCAGGAGTACATAATTCATCCACCCTTTACACACGAGAGTGCCTTAAAGTTTTTTTACTACTGCAAAAAAAAACACATCGAACTGTGGGACTGCACGGAGCTCATCAATCACGTATATGCCTGCACAGACTCCAATGCTGCAGGGCTCATTTGTCAAGGTAAGTGTGGCATTTGTTTCAGTGCTGTGTGGAAACTTCAGCATTTGGTACCTCCTGCTTGCTTGAAAGTAAGATTCCTTTGCGAATGTAAAAAGAATACAAAATTCAAAATATTGCATGTATTGTTGAAAAATGAATGTCTGACCTCTGGCGATTACTAAGAACCTCATCTTTCCAAAAAATGTATTTGTGCACAAAATAATTCATGTGCTGAATATAACATAGAAAACGTGGTTATATATTTTAGAAATGAAATGTTTTCCCATCACCTGCAGTAATTATTTAATATGAAGAAATACAATTCACACTAACATTTCCAACATGAAACAAAATCAACAAAATATTCTTGACTGGTAGAAAATCCAAAAATCATTTAGGTTCTCAAATATGAAGATTTATTTAAAATTTCAAACTGTATTATCTATGTTGAACTGCTGTATCTTCAATTTGCATAATTTATTTTAAAACTATCATTCTAAACTACATTTTAGACAGTTTTTACTAATAGGAGGTTGGGTTGAGAAAATTCCTGTCACTCACTAAGTAGAGGTTACAAATTAACAAGACACCTCTGTTATACTTCCAAACCCACATACAACCTAACAAAAATGGTGATAAAAGACACCTGCAGATGGTTGAATTCTTCCAAGACACACAGTATCAGTCCTTATTTTTGGGGTTCCCTAGTCCAACAGGTTTCAAAGGTCATCAATAAATCACAAGTTTCTAAACACGTGACCTATTTTATTGTAATCAGTCAAGTAATTAAGATTACTTAATTGAACAGTAACTTATGGTAGGGGAGGCCAACTCTGGTCCTCAAGAGCCATTGTCCAGCAGTTTTATAGGCCTCTTTTAAATCTCCAGCATTTTAAGAACAAGTAAGGCTTCAACTTCGTTAAGCAAATAATGAGTTCAGTTAGGTCTTTAATGACTGAGGCAGTAGGAAAATCAGAAACCTTCTGATCCTCTGGCACTAAAATTGTGACCTCTTATTTATCAAAGTTTGGAGTCTATGTCAAAAGGTGACCAATCCAACTAACTTGAATGGGCCTGTCCAACAGCAGGACTATTACCCCATCTTAAACTAACTGTAGCCAGGCTGAAGTGCAGGGCTCCCGTTGATAAGAATGTGGATGCATGGTGTTCTCAGTGCACAATCAATCAGGCAGTCAGCCCAGGGGTTCCCAGCCCTGATCCTGGAGGTCCCCTGTCTTTTCGGATGCTTATTCCAGCCGAGCACAAGCTTTAGCACAAGCTAATTCATTTCAGTTGTCTATCTGGGGCATTTTTCCCAAATTGCTTTAGGGTCTTCAGGTTTAATGCAATTTAGATGCCAAACTGGAACAATACACTTGAAGCTGGGGACTTTTGAACTGAGTTCAGAACCAGCCAAAAAAAATGGAAACAAGGTAGCAGGACAATCAAAGGCATCAATTATCTCCAGAGATCAGCAGCTCAGCTCGATCGAAAACCAATTGGTTCAAGATTCCCCAAGGATCAGGACTCATGATTTAGCCTATGCTGGGTGGGAGGAAAATAGAGACTTTTATTGAAGGGCTGAAAAGCAGGGGGTGTGGACTATCTTTACTTTTGTAAGAGCTGATTCCCATACGAAAAAACATTAATTTAACCCACCAATGGACCCAGACTCCCACTTGTTGATACTGCTTAGTCTTGTCACAACCACTTCCTAAAACGTTAAAGGAGTCTTTGTCTTTCAATATTAGATGGAAGTTGCTGTTTTCTAAAGGAAGCTTTACTGAGTAATATGACATTTGCTAATGTTCACTAAATTCACCATTTAGAGGTATGTCTAACTGTGACAACAGTCAGATCATCTGAAACATATAAGCTGATGTGTGATATACTGCTATCTCCTCCCCTCCAGTTGCACATATATGGCTGCTGGCACACTTGCAAAACGACGACATATGTGACCTCAGTTCATAACTACGCAATTAATCGTTAATAAGGCTCACCTGGTGGCAGTGTAGTGTGAGTTGTTAGACCCCCTGCTGCAGACACTGCTGCTGTTGTACATTAAGAGAGGTGCTTTACCCCAGTTGCTCCTGTCCAACCATTTCTATACAGATGTAACAGTGACCACTGAGGGGTAATCTCTGTGATGGACTGGTGTCTCATCCGGGGTGGGGGAATCACATTACAGAAGCCAGGATAAGCCCTGGCCCAATGAGTCATGCGGCTTTGGAATGGCAAAGGATCATTTAACCATTCAGGAATACAAATACATTCATAAATTAGTGACATGATTGAAAAAGATCTACCAACAAACTCCCTAATCTCACTATACTTTTTGCTTTTAAACATTGCTTAATTGAAAGAAGAAATCAACCGTGTTCAGAGCAACCAAAATATTACATTTTCAAGCATTCTAAATGTATTTGTCAAGTAATTCACACCATCCTTTGATTTACAGCCGTCCTAATAAAGGAAAAACACATAAAGTTGCCATCACACTTTAAAAACTTACAATCACATTTTAAGTGAATTTGGTCTAAAGCAGCCAGTGTCACTCCTTCATGTGTGCAGTATATTTTCCAAGAGGAGAAAGTTACCTTTTTCAGGGATGCAAAGATATTTTTTCGATTTAGGGATTATGATAGGGAAGAACAGATCGTCTTGTCTCTTCCTTTCATCACATGGTGCATGTCATGCGTGCTGTGCCTATGATTGTGAGAAAAGGCAAACAAATCTATTGTAAATGAAAGACATTGGACTAGGAGACAAGACACGTGTGACAAGTGTTCTGAAAGATATGTTGCACATATTCAAAGATGCAGTTAGTAAAAATGATCTGCAGTTTGCCTCTTTACAGAATTTAAATCTCTTCTTCACATGTGTTTAAGGCCAGTTTCAGTGTAATAAGGGGTCTATTGTCTGTCACTGTTTGATGGGCTCTTTTTTTATCTTCTGCAGGATCACTTGGTTTCCCAAATATTACAACACCGGCACCTACCAACAATTATACAACAGGTAAAGGTTTCAGTAATTCCAATGTGTTGTAATTAGACACTATAGTGAAATAACTTTATTTCTTAGTCATATTTAGATTAATTTATGTAAATGAAGGTTTAATAGATATTTTATTCATCATCCATTATAAATTGATCTTCTGATGAAGGATGTTAATAAAACATCTGTAGATATTCAGTAGTAAGGAAGTTAGGATTAGCATAATCACAACTGTATCCAAGTATGTTTTTTTAACATTTGTACATTAACTATGCATTGATGCATAGTAAATTGGTCATTAACAAAATCTCTATTATGCCCCTTTTATACAATTAGACAAAGAAAATAACTTTCTATGTTAAAGAAAGGTTTAAAATATTAAACATAGAGCACTTCAGCCTGGTTTTTAATCATTTACACCTCATGTGTACAACATAAAAGTCCTTTTCTTTCACATTTATTTGTAGATAGCAATCTTATGATTTCCTTTTGATCAATATTGTAATTTTGCATGTGCTTTTAATGTATCACATGTATTCATGGCGTGTTCCACAATTGTCCACAATCCTCAACATGAATAACGATGTGTATGTATTTTGTACATTGTATATTTTGTACCTTTAATCCACATCTGAAATTATTTAATCCACATCTTAAGCTTTTTTCCAACAAAGAATTAGTATTAAAACCCCCAATAAAAAAATATGAAAGATCTAAAATACTTATAGTAATTGTGTGCACCTTAATTAATGTAAGCTTGCCATACAAAGGGGTGAATATGTACATTATGAAATTAGCATAATTTAGCTTTTGATTCTTTTTTTGCAGTTTTGCTGACATTTAACTGATGTTAAATATCATGCTGATATTTCACCCATAAATATTTTGAAAGTAAGCGTTCCAGGTGTTATTTAAAATGTTTCCTCTAAAAATTTGTATAGATAATTTGTAATTGAATAGACCTGAAAAAAGAGGCAAATCTCTTTTAATAACCCTGTGATGAGTTGGTGAAAGCTAAATCCAGTGAAAGCATCTTTTTTCAAATCGCTTTGTTATTTTATTAATGCACGTTATTTTCTGTTTCAGGGCCTGTGACCACAGCAAGTAATGAAGTTGAAAGCACAGGTTTCGTTCTGTCCTTTCCTCTGCTGGGCTGTTTTTTGCTGTTGTTCCTTCTGATCCTGGCCTTAATAGTAATTGCATTGCTCTTCGGAAGATACCGGAAAAAAGAGGGTGAGTGAGACAGGATTTTGTAATAGTTCAGAAACACCAGTGCTTTCTTTCATTAAATTAATATATGATCTCTTACCTGGAAAAATCATACATGTAAAACTGGTTAAATAATCATATTGAAATCACAGTGGAGAAACTTAAAACTGTACCTAAAACTAACTATACTTAAATCTTAATTAAAACTGTACACGTAGATGTTTAAAGTAGTTTTAGAAAATAATTTACAACATTTGTTTACTCTGGTATATTTTCATATACAGTAGATGAAAACAATGTTAAGATTATAAAAAATCACAAATGAAAACCAATTACTTTATTTCTTACAAGTGTAAGAGAGGCAGAAGGTTATATAATTATCTCATGTTACTGTAAAACGTTAGATATCCTCTACATTTCATTGCACTCATCACTGAATGTAACTTTGTGTACATTTTTTAATGCAGAGTAAAAGTTACAGTTTTTTTAAAGTTTTTGCTGTTTAAAAATAATGTTGGAGTTTGTATACTCTATTCAAACTTGCCTGGTGTAACTTAAAACCTCTTCACATTTGAAGAAAGCGCAGCTGATTGCATTAGGCACAGAAACAGTGTATCGCCCTTGGAAAAGTTAAACTCTAGTTTTATTTTCCAGTTTTCATCCATCTAAAAGAAATTCAGGACAGCACAGTTCAACAGGGAGTCCTTTATGAAAAATATATTCTCCAAATTAACCTCCGTTGCCTAAAACGCATGTACACTTTCACTCTAGACAGAATTAATAGGCATATGCTGTAGCTTAAGTATTCAGTAGGAATTAGAATTCCTAAGAGGCTGAAAAAAATAAGACAGAAATGACAAATGTCCTTCTAGATCCATCTAACTCTTGAGTGCTAATAGGAATTGATTGTTGTAATTAATCTGAGTATCTCATTCGTCTTTTTCTTGAAAGCCAAGATATCATCTTTGATAACACGACTGAGTACTGTAGCTTGTTCCAGACACCCACAACTCTTTCTGTAAGGAGGTGCCTTTCATTCTGAGTTTCAAATGTACTTCCCCTTAAGTTTCAAACATGTACTTTAGGCCCACCAATTCTGTAACATGCCTAATTCTAATAAGACTAATTCTAGACCAAATTATTTGATTATTTGAACACCTCTTTCCTTGCTTTCACAACAGACAAAAATAATACTTCAGATATACTGTAACCCTTTATTATTCACAATCTGAAGAAGTATCAACAATTCCATTAATGTGGAGAAAAGTAATTCGAAATGAAACACTGGATACAATTAACTCATAGGATTTACATGTATTTCACTAACAGGTTACCAGATATCTAGTTCTGTTTCTTCTCCTTCCACCACTGGTTTTTGAAAAATACTGTACAAGATGTGATTTGTAAGTGCTCGGTTCACTAAGCCAAGCTTACGACAAGACTTGTTGATTTGTAGAAAATTTGTTTCACAAACAGGCTATTACCTTAGATGTGGAAAAGTTGCTATCATGAGACGAACACATGGGACACAATTCCTGGGAGCTAGAATATCACATTTCCTCAGGGCTGCTGTTCACAAACAGCAGGCAGCAATATAAATATCAGTGGAAACAGGGTGCAAGTCTTTTACCAGTAGGAAGTGAAATAACAAGAATCTGTAGCAATAGCTGCTCCCTTCTACAATGCAAAGGAGCAAAACAAATGTTTCAAAGCACGGTTTTTGTTAGCAGTGCAGGGGGAAATTCATCTTCTAAATAAGGTCAGCTTGAGGTGGAAGACTGGAAGGCTACAGTATATACAGCTCACAGCTGGGCAGCCATACAGTATATGCAGGGAAAAAATGACAGGGAGTAATTATTTAGAGAGATAGCGACACAGGAAGTGCAGGCAGATGAGTAACTTTGTGTCTGCGCTCCTCCCCGCCCCACCTCTGGTGTCCTTAATTCTTCTGCGTCTCATTTAAAATGAAAAACAAAGAGAACATGACTTCCTGGCAAAGGCTTCCTGTTAAGTAAGTTCAGAGGCTGTTTTTCTAAGTTAGACCTGCCACTGACAAGATGATAGGTACCCAGGCTTTCAGCTAATTGAAATGCGAATGTTCTGTAGATGAATGATTTTCAACTATTAATTAACAAATGTTCTGAAATTGTGTATTCCTTGTGTTACTTATGTTTCTGTGCTTTCTTGTAGTTGTATTATCCTTATTGTTTCATATATGATGTTATATCATTATAATTTTTTGTGATAGCTGTCTCCTTTAAGACATCGTTTTAATTGTATTTGTCATGAGGTTAATATTGCTATGCATTTGCAAAACACATACCTCATCATACAAATGACCCCAGCAGGCTGGAATCCTGTCCTGTTGAACATTGTATTGTATACCGATTTCATTGCCTGTGAAAGAAAGTAAAAAAATAATTTTGAGCATGGTGTGTGAGGGAAGGAGGGATATGAGTTTCTATGAGCTTCAGTATTAATGTGTGTGAATAAGCCCTTCCAAGTAAAGTTTCAAAACTGATTTTGCATTATGTTTGCAATCAGCTGATAATTGTGAATTTCTTGCTCAGTTCTGTAAATGCAAACCAGCTGTTATTGTTCCTTTGTTCCAAGCTGTGTTTTATTTCATTTACGGAAAACAATAAAATGCACTTTTGCAAAATTTCAAGGTTTTTGGGTGCTTTTTTAAACCTTTTTTGTACCAAAATGTATTGGGATGTCTTGAAAAACACATGAGGTGACTGCTGTGGCTAACTGAGAGTGCTGCTACTGGAGTTTTTCTCCTTGTCTCCACAGTGATGCCTGTCCAGCTGAACAGTACTGGCCGCCACATTACCTCAGAAAGACAGGACAATGATTACGACGAGTCTGTGGACCTCATCAAAGTGACAGCAAACAACCCAGATGGCCACGGTCAGTCTCCGCTCATCCCCTCTGAGGCTCAAACCTAGAATTGAAAAAAAACCCCACTAAAATCAAAAAGAGGTCAACAGAATTTGAAGAATAGAAGCTCCATTTTCTCAATGTTTTTTTGTTTTCTAAAATGCTCCTAACTTCTGCTCCCGACCTCGACAGTATCATTTAAGCGATTGGGTCTCTACTAAGGGAACGATAAAACGGGTTAAAATTTCAGCAGGGACAAGCAGAGGTCAACTCCACACAAAAGCAGAAAAGTGCAAAGAAAAACTTGGCTGTTAAGCCTTCTTCTGGTGTGGTCTTTAATTTTTCAAGACTTTCAAGTCTTACTGTTATAAATTTACTGAAACACTAGGTTGTTTATAGTAGTATGAAATTCCAGTGAAATGGAGTAATCGTGAAAACTGTCATATGCACACATCCTCCCACTAATGGAGAAGGAAAAAGCTGAGTATCTTTCATTTCATCTTTCATCTCATACATTCTACCTTTAGTAGCAACAGTTTAGTGATCTGGTTACAGGAAGTTCTTTTGGTGTCCACACAATATTGCAGTTTGTGCATCTGAGCTTATTCATATTGGTTCACACTTTGTTAGCGAGTGTTTCGCTCTTGGTGAGCTCAGATTAAATTGAGCTAGCATCTTAGGAAAGACCCTGTGAACAAGAAGGAGCTTTTTCATCTGTGACAGCGACGTTATAGACGTTATATGATTCTCTGCTTCTAAGACCCCTACAGTCAGAGCTTATTTTTTCTGTGGTTCAAATTAGCCAAGAGAAGGCTTTCTACAATTGTAGACTCAACAGTCCTCCTACAGATAAACAAATGTGCTGTTCCTCATCATGCTGATTTCCAGTGAATCCTGAACTTCAAACAGCCCCGAGCAATGATGACACTTCCTCATTTGACTCCGATTACGAGCATTATGACTTCAGCGCAGAGCCTGCTGCCGCCATGTCCACCTTTCAAAGTAAGAGGCCAGCAGCTGCAGCCTCTGTGTTGCCCTGCTTCTCTTCTCTTGTTTCTGATGTTCTGATGCAGCAGGTTAGTTATTAAAAGCCTACAGCTCATTTTTGGAAGGTCAAACACTGTCAAAATAAAACGAGCTGCCTTTTAGCAGGGGTAGGACCCCATTTAGAGATGCTTGCGGAGACAGCTGGCAGATTGTTTGTTTACTCTGTTTTTGGTTGTCATTGACACTAAATGCTATCTTAATGTACTGTAACAATGTGGGTGGCAGCTTCTGCATTATAAACCAAATGTGCCAAATTGTACTGTTTCTCACACAGTTCTAAACCAAATTCAAGCCATAAACTTTCTGCCAGCTGTGTTTCAGGGATACCCCATGTTTTCGCAGAGTAATGCTTAGTTAAATGATACAGCAGATATATGTATTCGACAAAACACCAAGCATCAAATGGAGCAACTGGTAGCTTGCTCCTCATGAATCCTGCAGGGGGATATTTCAATAGTGAAATGAATGTAATTACTCTTTGCTTTAGTCGGCACTATTTGAAAGCTATTTCTGGAAGATCACTCAGGAACCATTCTACTTTTATTTCTATTTTGTCACCACTATGGTTTCCAGATTCTTTGCGGAACAGAACGGAAAACAGGAGCCCTATGTTTAATTCCATACCACTGTGCAGTCTGGCCGAAGAAGGTGAGTTCACTTGTTTATCAAAGAAGGCCAAAGGTCTTCAACAAAAATGTATCTGGATCAATAGAAGTCTCAGACATATTACCAGCCTGTGTTCAGGTCAGAGTTCTTCTCATGACCTTTCCACAATCTTCTTTCTTCAGCTCTCCAAGTACAGCATGAGTTTTCATTTCATGTTGCCATTTCACTTAAATCCTTGTCTATTTTTTCCAGATCTAAGGACCGTGTCCAACATTGTCTTTTTCAAGCGATGATCTATAGCTCTTAGGTGCAGGGCCATTTCCTTTTCATTTTGTTCTTGCCTCACAAAAGCCATGTTATACTCTAGTCCATTCTTCTCTACTTAACAGCACTTTTCTTGCTATTTCAAAGAAATGTTTTTGGGTTCCTCCTTCAGGTGTCAGTGGTTTTTTGGATCAGTCTTCACCAAGTATCAAACAGGATATTTCATGAAAAAATAAAACATTTACTCACTGAAAAAAATGAAGAATGTTACTGAATAATTTTGTCAGTTGAGTCTTAATGACTCTAAAAACAATTCTTTATCTAGATCCCCCAAACTCTGTCAAGGTGATGGCAAGAAAAACATTCCTCAAACATTTGTAAGGTTCTATTGTATTTCAGGTGGCTGAGTTAATCTCATAAATCTTATAAATTATTAATTCAAAGAGAATAATTTGTTTTACTTCAAAACTGTATTAAAACCTCCTTTTGAAATCTGATGCAGTAAAAATCCTATAATTACAATACTACTTGCTACTGACACCAACCTTGTCTCTAGCATGGTGTACAAAACTTCAAACAGTTGTTTTTTTTCCATAACTGTAGGATTATAAGTGACCTTTTAGAAATCCGTCACCATAATTGTTAATTTTGTCTTTGACATCAGCATGGGCTAACTAGGTTATATTTTTTCACTAAATAAATGTTCTAGAATTCAAATGATCACAGCTGACAGAACATAATTTTTCCTTTCTGTTTTATGCATGTATTTTATGCTCCAGAAACTCCAAACACTCTCCAGGTACCAACATGTACAAATCCCAACATAAATGAAGACACTTCAAGCACTTCTTCTGGAGAAAGCAATTTCTATAATAATTCTGAGAAACAAAAAACATTGAGCCTACCAGGTAAGCATTCATCATTCTGATGAAATACTGCCACAGCATTAACAAAACTGAATCCTCTATCAGAAGACACTGATGGACACTGAATCTTTATGAAATGTTGACATGTACAGTATACTTTATATAATGCCAAAGTGCATTTCTGGGTTTTCATTTTATGAAAATATCCAATAGGAAGTCGTGATTAGCATGGTAAACTAAGAAATCCAAAAATGTAAGCATCATACAGTATGTGTGATCCAGAAATATATTGAAAGCCTCCTAACATGTACACCAAAATCAAGATAAAATAATGAAAGCTTTGAGTTTACTGCGCTGATTGATGGCTCACATTTTGGAAATGTTACTTTACCATGCTGTGACCATGATGGTTCAGTTCTGAACAGATACAGAGCCTTCTGGTTTTTACAACTCATCTCACACTCAGTACAGTGACTGGCACCCTGCAGCAGCTGGAGATCACCAGCTGCACTCAGTGGCCACAACACAAGAATAACCCACTGAATAACTGGACAGAAATAGCCAGCTCTCCAGCTCAGGCTGAGAAATACAGACAGCTTAATTCTGTCCCCTTCCTCTAGGGCTGCTTTCAGTTGGGGTACTGATGTTGGTCATTGTGTCTGAGATTAAATTCTGTGTCCCGTTGGTATTGAGATACTAACATTGGCCAGTTTTCTTTTAAATGGATGTATGGCATAAATGCTAATTACATGTACTGCATTTTACATGCACTTATATACAGTAGCTGACTGTGTGTGACAAGGCCCCAATGTTTAGAATATAAAACATCTTTGTGTGAGTTACAATACATTTGAAATAATAGCATTATTATTATTGAAATAATAACTACATGTTTTAACACGGAACTACTACTTTAAAATAAAATTAGTCGGACTGAAATGATTGAGTGCCCCCCAAATAAATCTGTGCACAAGAGATTTAAGAGAGATTATTTTGTTTTGATTATAAATACGCTTTATTCTACATTATTCTGAACACAATTATAAAAAAATGAAGCCAATACAAGACACAAAAAGCAGATGCAGAACTGTACATTACATTTCCCAGTCTGATTCTACCAGGCTAACAAGAGCGACACTTGTGCTGCATGACTGCAGCTGAGCCCACAGCTGTCATGGAGGTGTAGAAATGTCCTAATCGCAGGTCTCATTCAGTTGCAGAAGACTCCTTCGATTCCTCCAGCACCTCGTCAGGAGAATGCTATGAAAACACAGACCAGAACGCTGACCAGCTGCCAGCACCAGGTCTCCCACTGTTTGTTTATTTTCTGTCAAAGCTCACCAGACATTGTGTTCTCCAGGCAGTGACCACGATGTGCACAGTGGGTCAAGGCCCCTTGCTTCTTTGATCACCAAAAGGCCACAATAGGGGCAGCAAATGGAGGTTACCTGTAACCCAGAAAGCTAAAACCACAGGGCTTCTCTGGTGTGGCCAGCCAAGGAAAACCTCAGCGCCGATGATGCTCAGTGAATGTATGAGGGGTCTCCCTCCCTGAGCCACAGACCCAGGGGTCAGGTGCCACGGCTCACAGCTGAGGAAGTGATCTCTGCACCAGAGGGTCCAACCTGCATGCAGAAATGGAACCACATGAATGACCACACCTCACCTCTTAGAAACCAATATGAACCTTACTGTTCAATTCATTCCACTGAGTTCATTAAGAGAAATCACATTTCCCATTTTGTTTGCATGTCCCACTGTATGTTTGTTTTTTTTGAGAGCACTTCTTCCAGCTGTGAAATTATGTCTTTGCTTCTGCACAAATGAGACGCTCTCCAGATACTACACTGACCGTGACAAGACAACCCCCTCCTAGTATCTGTGCACTACTGCAGCCCACCCCAGCCATGACAAACCACCTGGGCAATTAAAGGGGTTGGGTTTTAAAAGTGGCACTGTGGCCCTAACTGCTGTTTACTCCTCTAAATGCACAAGGGAATCGACTTGGTTTAGCTCTTCAGAAGGCAACAAACAAATGAAGAACCTGAGCCAGAAGCTGTGATTATTAGAAGGCATGTGTTGGGCAGGACAATAGCTCAACTTACAAAATAATGAACCTTCGGTATCCTACTTTATTTTCATTGCTGTACCAATTAAAAGAATACTTACAGAGATAGTTCAGGTGGGTAGCTGTGTCAGCATGCGTAGTCTGCAAACGAACAAGTAATAGGTTTATTCCATGCTGAAAAGAGAAGAGAGAAAACACAACGTTTCGGCTGTGAAGCCTTCTTCAGGTGTGTACTTACAGAGATTCCCCACTTTTTACTTTGAGGGCATTCTAAAACTAAGAGATTTTAAAGGCATTCTAAAACTATGTTTAAGGTACAGTAATGGTACTGAAGGCATACAAACAAATTTTACAGATAAATTTTTCTTTTGTTTAAAATTTGTTGGCTTATTCAAACAACAGTATTGTCAGAATTGTGCACAGTGAAATTATAACAACTGTTAAATTCAACACCCCATCTCAACATCACATCAACAAACAAATTTGCTCCACTCCAAGACCTGGAGTGTTGGATTTGGGATCCACCTGTGGAGCCATCTTCAGGTGGACATGTGTGTAATTAGCTCCCACTGGTGGACATGTGTGATGTTAGCTAACTCTGGTGGACTTTATATTATATTACCAGTTCCAGTTCCACCAGTTCCCTCTGGTGAATATGTATAACTTTAGCTCCCTCTATTGGACATGTGTGTTACTAGCTCCCTCTAACGGACACTATTATATTGGTTGCGACAGGTGCGTGCTGTCATTATTCATGAACCCAACAGTACTGTATGTCCACCAAAAGTCATTGTTATGTTGTCTGCCCAGGCCAGTTAATGTTATATTACATGTATTACATGTAAACATAACCTACCGCTCTTCCCTCTGGACCAGAATTTACAAACCAATTCCCCAGCATGGTGACAGGGGACATTTTGCTGTTGGAGGTGCTGTTTTATGAGTCATTAAACTGAGATCTATTTTGCTAAACCCCAGTGTCATGGCTATATTCCCCTCTCTTTTTTTCCACAATATGTCTTACTTAAAGTTCCCCCTTAATTTAAACTGGTGAAGCAGTTTCTCTTCAACTCTACTTGACTGCTATACAAATGCAATTAATTAGCAATTAAAACTATCAATGTATTATTAATTCTGCATTGATATAATGAGCTTCTCTACAATGCCTTGGTTTGCTCAAGAAGAAGACTTATAGATTGTGTAAGTGCTGAAGAATGTGGTGAAGTTTAAGATTTCTTCGTTGTTTCTTTTAAAAGACATTGCAGGTCCTTTATGGTCAGAGGACACCAGTACACTGCTGGAGCCCTGCTCCTACCTGACTCCAGGTGACTGCCTGATGACCCCTGTGACAAATGACCCTGAGTACTACAGCTGTCCTCCACCAGGCCCCACAGCCAGCGCTGATCCAGGTAAATATCCAGGTCTCCTCTCCAATAAGTATTTTAGGGATCACACCAGGAATTTGGAGCAGCACTTTATTAAAAGAGTACCAGAACTTTGTGACTATCAGAACACAGAGACTTTCAAATCCATATGAATGACAGCACTAGGCTCTATTTTAGTGCTTGAAAAGTAATTGAAAAGTAACTCCCTGTTGAAATGAAGCAATAATGATTCTTTCCAGTTCCACACAATACAGTAAGTTATCATACAGAGTGAAGCTTCATAACGCGGTGTGCTTCCCCCTTCACCAATGCATTCGTGCACAAAATTGTGGGTGCCCTCTAAAGAACACACAGCATGTTCAGAAACATGAGAGCATATTATACACTGATTTATTCTTAACACTTACCCTTTCCTCTTTAATACCTTGTACACATTATAATTACCAGTTTTCATACAAACCTAGTGGTAAATTTTTTTGTAAAGCTTTGTGTGTAACTGGATAGCCAAAACAAATAGTAATGATTGAGTGGATCTGTTTTAACGAAGGTCAAAAATAATGGGCAGTCTTACACAAAAGTAAATAAATCCAAACAAACCACCATAAACTGCAGTATTTTATATGAAAATGAAGGGTAAAAAAAAAAACACAACAGGCATTTTGTTACCACCTATTAAATTATGTTCAGAGGTATCATCATCACATACGCTGAATATTTGGTTACATAACTTTATCGTTAAGTACAGAATATTTCCATATTTCTTTTCGGCCTCAGGACCAGCACATCAATTCTGAAATGCCGCTTTCCTTTTCTTTACTTAAATTGGAGAGAAAACAAACTTTGAACATAATGCACTGGTCTCGCTTAAAAGGTTTTTTATGCGAAAGGTTTGCTGTCAATTGATGGCAAAAAGTATTCTGACATTTTGAGAGAATGTATGTATTTTCACTTTGAAAGGTGAATGAAATTATCCCAACATGTCATTTTGCACCCATCTTTATTGTAATGTATGGAGTAACGGGTGGAGTGGTGGCACTGTGGCTCAGGATCTGCGCCTGTGGCTGGAAGGTTGCCGGTTCAAATCCAGCGGCCGGCAGAGGAATCCTACTCCATTGGGCCCCTGAGCAAGCCCCTTAACCCCAACTGCTCCAGGGGTGCCATATAAATGGCTGACCCTGCACTCTGACCCCAAGCTTCTCTCTTTCAATCTGTGTGTCTCGTGGAGAGCAAGCTGGGGTATGCAAAAAGACAAATTCCTAATGCAAGAAATTGTATATGGCTGATAAAGTGATCTTATCTTAATTCCCAGATACTCAAATTGTGTTGCAGGAGACTCTGCTGATTCTTCTAGCACGTCTTCAGGAGAATGTTACGAGAACACAGCCATTAATAATGACCAGGCTTTGCCTGTCATGATTCATGATTCTGGAGAGTCCTCAACTGATGATGACTATGATGACATCGCAAACTACCACACCTAAATGTTCAGCTTGAGGCTGGCTGCCCTACCTCACACTCTGCTTGAGGGGACAAAGCCAAGATCATTTTTAGCTGCACGGGTATTTCAAATCTTACAGGTTGTGTTGTATATATATATAAAAAAAGACCTTTTATTTTTATCAGCATCTGTTGTCTTCAACGTTCCTACTACCGACAGAAGTAAAGGAAAAATGTTTACTCACACGGTGACCTGAGAAGTTGCTCTCTGTCAGCTCCTATTCTTTCTCAACGTGGCACAATAGCAGTGTTTCCTCCATCCATTTTCTAAATGCTTCTTCCAATTTGGGGTAGCGGGGGAGCCAGTAGCTATCCCAGCAAGCAGCAAGCACAAGGCAGGTACACCCTGAACAGGACACCAGACCATTGCAGGGCAAACACTCAGACACCAGGCCAGTCACAGCAGGGCCAATGTCCCCAGAAGCCAGTGAATCTACCAGTGTGTTTTTGGACTGTGGGAGGAAACTGAAGCACCCGGAGGAAACTCGCACAAACACGAGGAGAACATACAAACTCCATGCAGAACACATCAGTGGACTGGAATTGAACTCAGAGCCCCAAAGCTGTGAGACAGCAATTTTAACAACTTTGCTACCCTGCTGCTCATAATAGCAGTGTTGTATCATATTAATTATGTAATGGGGAAAATTAGGTCTTCATTTAAGGTCATTCTGGCAGTCTACTGAAGTGTACTGACAGTGTACTGAAGTGTAATGAAAGTCCTGTTGCACAAAACCTCCCAAAGCTATCAAAAACTATAATAAAACAGATTACTTACAAACCTCTTCTAGGCAAGTCAAATGACTACAATGTGTTTAAATGTGCTTTACACTGATGTCTGCAATTTTTTACCATAGTATTTTATTACCAAATGTGAAAGGCTGTACAGTTTATACATTTCAACATAAACTATGAAAATTGTATAATAAAGAGTTTGATAAACGTGAGGCTCACTTTTCTTTTAAAAAAAAAAAGTCAGGTTCCAATTCCAACACCTCCTCCAAACCCAGAGACTGTCAAGTTTCAAGTTTCGTGTACAGTTTGAACACTGATGGGGAGCCTTCTCTAAAGCCTCTAGGCATGAGCATCTGGCCAGAAAAAGGCAGCTTCATCCTGATAACTATTTTTACCCAATTAAATCACCTTGAAATTAGTGCATATAAACTGAGTTCTTCCTATAGACAAACATTAAACAGATGCCTGATATATTCCTGTTAAGGTGTAATTAGATGACGTTATTAGGGATTTATAATATAATTATAGCTTTAAGTTGATCGCCTAATTATGCTTTTGATCATTTTCATTGGAGCAATTTTAAGACACATTTGCCATATGAGCACTATATGTTGTCATTTATAATCCATGAATTTATCCTAAAATCTGGGTCTGCAACTCCTGGAAAGAGAGAGTCCTGCTGAGTTATAGGCACCCTTTGACAGTCTAAAAGTAAAAACACAAGAAATATCTAGCCCAGAAGACAGCGTGACTCTTCTGAAACTGGGCTGCGTATCTACAGCATGCTATCGGGACATAAAAGGATAATTAATTCTTCTTTCCCAAAATTCCAAACTTCCTATTGCTCTCTCTCCTTCATTGCCACTGTAGGTCTTACTTGGATACCAGGAGAGCTTTGATTAACCTCTGCCTCATATCCAAGTTGCCACATAGAAGCAATGTGACCTCAAGCCAAAAGATGATATAGTCCAGGGGTCTCCAAAACTGGTCCCAGTGAGTCACAATCCAGTTATTCTTACAGGGCACCCTAAATCTAATGTTATTTGTAGGTACAGAAGGCTTGATGAAGCAAATGATCAATTTATCAAGTCATCTTGAGCAAATATAATTGAACACCCCACCTATTTAATTGGTTGTAGATTAAATACTTCAGACCTTTAGAAATGGACAATTTACTCTTCTAACAATCTTGACACAAAACAACATACAACCTTTTTAATATTTATAATATTCTTTAATGAACAAATTCATTCATTGTCAAAATGACTTTTGTACATTTTAATCTCAGTGAATTGAGTGAATAGTTCAAGTGAATAATTCAAAACGAATAATTCAAAAAATGTTTTTAACTTAATATCATCTGTCCATGGTAATGCAAAAAAGTACAATATATAGTTTTACACAGGCTCATAAAGGAAAAGGTCAATGTACAATGCAGAATCTGAAAATATCAATAAATATACACAAACCATAGTATTTTAAACAAGCAATATATTCTTTATGTAATTTCCCTACTACAATTGTCCACGTTAAAATATGATCTTCCTTTGTTCTTAAAATGCCTTTAATACTTCTTAATTTATTTAGCTTTAATAGCACTCCAATATTCTGCTGTAAAGAATGTAGTTGAACACTATAGGCTGCTCATTTTATAAAATTAACTGCTTTCAAACATATGGTGGTTTCTGTAGATTGTGCATAATAAGTCAGTAATTGTCACTTTAACACATCCAGTAACGGCAAGCTTATGACAACTGACAATGTGACCTTAACCCCGACACAGATCACCTTTACCACTTCGCTGAACTATAAAAAAATAGGTGAAGATGAAGCTGCTCGAAGACAAGAAATGACTTGGCTTCCTCGTTTAACCAGAAAATCCAATTTTTGGCTTTCGGGAGGATCAAGAAAATTCACGGCTCAGGTGGCGACTTTTGCAAACGCCGTGACGTTTTACTTCATCGACAAACTCGTCTCAGACAAAAAAAATAAATAAATAAGACGCAGTATAAAACAACAAGACGGCAGAGAAGCTGTTATCATACCTCCGATACCTCGCCACTGACAGAGAGGCAAACACGCACGGAGGGCAACCAAAACGGAGGGCAGAGCTCACGCGTGGTGTTTCCCGCAGACCCACCTGAGCTGCGGCTCTCTCCGCAGGTTAGTGAGGCTGCGGACAGATCTCCAGCTGCACTGGCAGGCGTGGGCCCGCACTCCCGGCGCTTTCACCAGCTTGGCCTTCAGCCTGTGGCAGTCCGGCATGTTGTTTCTGAAAGCAAGACCACCAGCAGTGGGGCAGTGGTTACTCCACCCGTCAGCGCCCAAGTGCACAATGACAACAGCAAACAGCGCGAGTACCTCTGTGCTGCCCCATGATAACGTGGCGGCTGGGCTCAGTAATGAGAAGGCCATGCCATTGGATTTGTGTTCTACTGATCACTGGCACTCTTGTTCCAGAGATGATTTATAATACACATGAGAAACGTTTATCTAAATACAGTAATACCATCTGCAACTCCTCTTTCTTAATGAATGAATATTCCTCACATTTAGGAATAATTTAATGTATGTTCTCATCATGGCTCTAGATTATAGTCAAATAAAACTGCTACAATCAAATTACAAATTAAAAGAAACTATAAAACAAATGTATATCGACATTTAGACATAATACTAAGTATAGCAAACACCCATTCCTATATTAGTTTCCCTAACAGATATCTCCATCATTTTCCATCAGTTATGAGATTCTTTCCTTTTTTTCCCCATTGAGAAGCTCTTGTTAAAAAGCTCTGTGTCACAGACATGGATATGCTTAGATGTAATCTGAATAGATTCATTTTGGCATTCGCTTTGGAAATCAGCTCTTTTTCCCACTGCCAAGACGGCATCTGACACACATCTTATCAGATCTTGCTAAGACAACTTATCTAGGAGGCGTGCTAAGCAGCAGCAACAGCCTTTGAAAATTTAAAATCTTCATTTTTACAGATGGTGCTGCATAATAAAAAAAAAACAGCTTTGAACTCAGTTGTGCCCGATGCTAGTTTCTCACATTCTGAACACGTGCTTTAAACTTTCTCAGGGGGTGTGTGGGTGAGCTTCTCATTACTGGGATTTTCTGGGAATGAGGCAGGCGTTCGTTCCATCGGGTCTTGGTCAGTGCCGGTTGCTGCAGAAGGATAAATCAGTGCACCGCATCTACAGCCTGCACAGCTGGCCCTCCTTCAGGGCTTTCTGATAAACATCTTGCAGAACGCTCTTTGATTATTCACAGCTCATTTGAATTTGGGCACCCAGTTAAGGTGTGGGTTATCTTTAAGGATTTGGTAGTAATAATTAAGCCACTCATGGGAAAAACAGAGGTGATGGTTGATTCCCCCCCCCCAGATACGGCACCACTGGAATGTATATAAGTTTCTTCCCATTATTCTCAATAAACTCTTCTAAAAATAAAATATAAATTTTGTCAGGTTCTTTAATGGAGTCGCTAATCAAGGAGGAAAGCTTGCTCTTGTTTGCACTAAAATTAACCAGCTCTGGTAAAGTTCTGCTTAAAAATGTCAGGTCAAACCACAAAACACAGACGTTATACAGTCCTTTCCGGAATTATTGGCACCTTTAGTAAAGATGAGCAAAAAAGGCTATTAAAAATGTCTTTGTTGTTTATCAGGTTGATCTTACAGAGGAAATGAGAGAAATCTAACCTGTCAGCGGGTAAAATTATTTCTACAACTGTACCACAGCCTATTCTGGAAAGTTGAATGGAGCTGAAAACGTGTGGATTTGGAACAAATAAAACAAGTGATGATTTTTCTCCAGATAACGTTTGCACTATTGTCATGTCTGAAGGCCAGAAAACCACTGATTCCAGGCAGGTGCAGGATTATGGGTCACTTTCATTTATTATTGGATTATTATTATTTTGATTGTATTATTAAATCAAAAATTGACCTTACCTAAAAAACAGGTAATCACAAGAAGGGTCCCATTCATGATCATCAAATGTGAGGACACGGAAATCACAGGAGGTGCATCGTAACTGGCCACATGCCCTGCGGACACAGTTGTATTTGGTAATGCAGTGCTTTCGTATACCTCACCTTCATCAAAATTCATTTTTTCAAAGACACAGAGAAATTCAACTGCCTTTCTGAACTTGCAAATATAGCTTTTAGTCTTATTTATTGCGTTTGCTCAGAAACTCCAAGCAATAACTCGCAGAATAATAAAAGTGACATTTTGCCGACTTTGCCATACTACATAAAGCACAATAAAGTCATTAATCTTTTATTTTTCTATTTGCCAGGCTTATCTTTGTACTTTAGGGAGAGGAAGAAGGGAGGTAATGAAGACTCTCTATAAGCTCTGTGCCATAGAAACCACCCACCATCTAAAAATTTAATCTATACCACTTATTAAATTCCTAAGTTTTTATAATGAACGTCATACCTGTTTTGTAACATGAAGTCACAGTTATTACTTTTAGAAACAAAGTGCCGCACAAGCACAGAGGCTGTGTAAGTGCTGCATGTTATAGATTGAAGTTCAATGTGTTTGTCATGGACACACAACAAACATACTGTACTCTGACCCCAGCTACTTGCTTTCCTGGTCTGACTGTGGACTGGGGAGCCCCTCCATTAATACTGACAACTGGTGATACCTGTCTACCTATTTCTTGTATAAACTCTAAAACTAAAGCGGTGATTTTGTCGCAGCATTATGGCTTGGAAGAATAACCCTTCTGCCTGCATCATATTCTTTAGCTGCTCCCAAAATAAAAAGCAATTTGTATGTCACTGCCAGAACCTTCCTGCTTAGGAAATATATTTAGTCATGGCTTCTGTCTATATGGCAGTGACACTCTACTCAGTTTATGCCAACTGTTATCTTTAAGGCTGACAATGTTATAAGTGTGAACAGGTGTTCCCAAGCAATGTATCTGATTTTGCAGTGCTATTGTGTTCAAACTATTGTACACCATGTTGTATTCATTGATTGAGCTTGACTCTTGGACGGCATAATTGTTGTACTGCATTATCACCTTAATCTGACACAGGAATGTGGCCTTCGCTACACTGCCAACCTCTTGCTTTCCATGCTCTGTGCAGGAAGGTGGATCTCCCTTACGATGATGGAATACAAACAACACAGTGCTGGGCAACACGTGGATTTATAAAGCACAGAAACTGCCTCCACTGCAGAAAAGCAGCAGCTGTAGGAATGAAGCTGGCATCAGGACTAACTGAGCATGAGACTTGGTCAACAGGCTCCAGCACACAAGGGCACATCTACCATTGTAACCTTCTGGTAAAACCCAAACAGCCTTCCAAGTACGTGGGGGTACAGCAAGGAAGGTTACAATGTTTAAGTTAAAAAACACGAAAGGACATTGCCTTTTGCAGAAAGGCTTGCTTGAGTTTTCTCTAAGGTGGCGAGTATAAGTGGGAAATAATAGCAAGCTACTGAGAAGTGTGATTTGATAATCACTTTACTAGTCACTGTGTCTGTGGAAGAATAACCCTGTGAACTTCTAACATTTACATCTGATCAGACATTCAGCTGTTTTTCATCTCTTTGTGATCTTTGGCTGCATTTCCGGTTCTTCCTAAATTAACAAAGCTTGTCATAAGAAAGGTTAGTTTAATTAATATTTAAACCAATTTCCAGCTAAAGTGGTATTTAAGCTGAAAGACCATATTGTACAGTATATAAATGTCATGCCACAAAGTAGTCTTAAATCAACATGCTTAGGCTGACCTATGATAAAATGATGAAGAGCAAATTCATTCCTTACTACAATTATGAATACTTTTACTTATTCACATTTACTTGTTTCAAAGCATCAAGATGTCACAATGCCATTCACTTTACAGTCTTAAAACGAGTCTCTCTCCCTGCTTCAGATAACTCTGGACAAAATGATGCATCTGTGTAGGATTGCTGTTTTCTAAAAGTTTTCCTCTGAACACAGTGAAAAAAGAAAAGGCAGAAAAAAATTAATAAAGCAGAAGGTCAAAAAAAGAAAAAAGAGAAATTAAAATCAGATTAAGCATTAAGCATGTGGTTTTCTAATTATTTTTTTTAAATTGGTTATTGGTTCTCAGTCCCGAAGTACAACTGCTGGTTTTTATTTGAAATTGAGCTCTGGATTACTGAGGCTATACAAACCATTTAATATTTATGACTTCAGCACTTAAAAAAATGTAGGGATGAGAAATTAGTTTTTTGGGGTCTCTGAACTCCTATCATTTAGATCTCATCTTACTCTGGAAGTATCTAGACATTTACTGGTAACTTGTTACCTACAGTAACCATTTAAAACAAAATCTGTCCATAGATCTCTTTGCCATCTTGGAGACAATTCACATACAGCAGGACAGGGTGTATGAAATAGTTCAAAAAGACTAATTAAGAAAAAAAGTTTTATATTAAAGGGCCCCAACAATTACAAGTCTGTGTATTCCAGGACAGAGCTGACCGATATCTGATATTAAATTTCTCTTTCTCGTGTCTCTTGTGTGATGTCAGATTTCCCCTTTCTGCTCTGAAATACCAGTTAACTAACCAAGAACTAATTAGGAACATAAGAATAGTAACAAGTGAGAGGAGAGACACAGATACACCATTTATAGATATATCATCAAATCCCATCAGAAGGAGATTTTTTTCCCCACAGCTGACATGGCTGTTAAGGGGAAAGCACCATTTAGTTAAAAAACAAAAGACCCAAATTTCTCTTCTGATATCTGGAATGGAAAACACTGAAAATGTCAGGCTTCATTAAGCTTCTAAAGTAAAAAAAGCTTCTGTCAACCACACGGACTGAAAAAGGGATTTCATCTCACGTCTGGTTCAACATACTGGCACTGATCAACATGCAGCCATTTTGCACACACATGGAAAAACTCAAAAGATAAAGACAGAATTACTCCAAATTTCTAAAACAGTCATCTGAAAACACCACAGTCTTACAGGACTTATAAATATCATGAAGCAACAGACGTTCGTTTGAGTAGGAGTATAATTCATTCCAATTAATACATTACAAAAAATGAATTCTTGGTATCTGAGATGTTAGGACGTGAGGGGGCGGCTCCTTCTGAGGAGAAGACAGCTGAGGTAAGTAGAAATGCAAACTTGCCAATACTGCAAAGAAAACAAAATATCTAGCACTGTGTGTACCTCTGCGACGTGGTTGTTCCTACACCAAGAGGTACAGCACTGCTTCCTAGGAAGACTGGACAACACCTGAAACAAAAGAGTGGTAGATGCTGAAGATTTTCCTTGCCTCACCTTCGACTGGAGGGTCATTGATACCTGTCTTTCACTTCAGTCTTATAAAGATGGAGAGCCAGCTTACTTTCTGCTTGTGAGAAAAGATGAACTCCTGGTGTCATCCTTTGCTGCCTTATGCTTCTGTGAAGTGTAAAAAAATAATTACTAGAGCAATAAAGTCTCATTTTTTTAAGCAGAAGAGAAGTATAAAAAATGGCAGTTCATTTGATGAACATTACGTACTCTACATGTGCTGTAATAATATGCTACTTTAAATTATATCAAATTACACAAGTCATAGCAGACCTACATCAAAGGCATGGAGCGTAAATTCAGTTACAACCAGGTCTGCAGTGGAGACAGTGTGAAATTGTGACTGATACATCCACTAAGATCCATTTTTGTTGTCAACTTACGAGGTACTTGAATGGAATGGACACATTAATAACCCGTCTATAGATGCAGCCACTTTAGTTTCAGGATGGGTTGGCAAATACATTTTTAATTGCCCAAGGACAACTATCAGAACTTACATCCTCACAGAATTTAGGTGGTTCAAAATCATCATTAAATATATCTTCAATCAGATCATCAATGTCCTCGTCATCGTGACTCGTGGATGCATCTTTTCTGCAACTAAAATAAAAAAGACAATGAGTTAAAGTGGTCTGCGATGCTTCCCCTTGGTCCCTGTAATTTGAGAAATAGGTCTAAAATTGTAATACCAGCCTATATTTCACCAGGACAAAATCCTCTTACTGTACATAACCCACATTCTGTGCCTCACAAAAGCTTTTATCCCCTTTCAATATTGTCCCATTTTGTTTAAATACAAGTGATATATAAAAAGCGATTTTTATAAGCTCACTCGCAAAGCTAACTGTTATGGTTGAAAGTTACATTACAAAACTGAACGCTTACCCAGGCTCCTACTGACACCTTGCGGTTAACAGTGGAAAGTTATTTCGAATGCAAAGAGCTTAGTATTGCCAATTTTAGGAACAGTCACACAATTCAAATACCTAGGTTACGAGATTCAAAAATATATGTGGACTGAAGTAACAACACTGAAGAAAGAGGAGTAATTAATAGAAGCATTACGGACAATCACAACACGTATTGCTTCACAGAAATAAAAAAAAAAACGAATTCAACTTTAACAGCTCAAGTGGTAGCCCACACGTTTGACATGAGACATGTACCTGTACAGAAAAGCACAGGGCCAGTGAATCCAGCTTTAGGTTTGATCATCTTATCTTCATCCCCGAGGATAGCTTCAAAAGCCTTGAACAAAACTGAACTACACTTTCAAAGTGCGCTCACTGCACTCCTTTTGATTTATTTCCAGTATTCCAGCAGAGTCACAGGAAATGTATTTCTCTGGGACGGTGCTTTCCAAAGGCACACGGTTTTCTTAACAGCAGTTTACGGTTCACAAGCAAGCGTGGCCTGGAGTGCAAGCAATTCACTACAATAAGTAGCCATTTAAACAAAAAAAACGGAAATGTGCAACATGTTGTCCGCTCCTGAGCGGTCACAACATAACCAAGCCACACGGAGGCCGTGTCAGAGTGAACACAAATCACAGCTACACTTGAAAGTTGGTAAAGACAAACCTCTGTTTCCCCTTTGCGTCTTCAGTTTTACTTCCGGCGTGAGCTGGCGGACGGCTTTTGTCTCCTCTGTGGCAGATCTCGGATGTGACAGGAACATTTCTGCAAAACTTACTCTCGACCTCATCCAGCAGTTCGTCCAAATCGTCCGCCATGTCTGCAGCCGTGCTCGCCTTGTACACTATCTGACTGTTGCCAGGAGGCCGCGGGTGCGCGCACGCACTCATCGGAGTACGGCGGCGTGCACGGAAAGCCCTCCCGTCCGTCAAGATCAAGAGAAACCAGCAGGGAAATGCAGTTCTTATTTAATTTGTTGTATTCGGGATCTGGTTTTTAAAAACATTTCAGTGTCGATTTCGCCACTGTATGGCAACACAAAAAAAGTGCGCAGATGTTTTGTTTTTTTTAAAGAAGTGTTGTTTTGTATAGTTTCGGACGATTACAAAATTAAAATATCGCTGTTAAAATACTGTGCCACTCACGGTTTCAGTGTATTGATGGCGTGCTTAATAATCAGCATTCACAATAGGGATGGGGAGTTCACAGTGGTTTTCTGGTAAAAGCAACTCGTAGTCGGCAGGATTCGAACCTGCGCGGGGAGACCCCAATGGATTTCTAGTCCATCGCCTTAACCACTCGGCCACGACTACTCGACAGGCATTAGTCGCTTGGTAATATTGATAATTGCTCAACCACTACACGAGTGCCACCTACCGTACGACATCGTGCAACTCGACAAAATGACATTTCTGTAGAGCATTCGTGCCTGACGTTTTAATATGCAGATGTACAGTTATTACTGAGGTTACTGAGAAATGAATCACCTCTTGGTCTAGTTCTGTGCAACTGCATCCGCTGACTGTCTGCTTGTTTAACAGAGCCTTCAGGTTAACATTGACATAATAGTGCATTTATATATAAAACGTTTCGTCCCAAATGATCCTTAAATCGCTTTACCGGCAGAGAGGGAGTCATGTCTCCCACCAGTGAAGAGCATCAACCGCGTGAGTGACGCCCACAGCGGATCGGGTGGAGTAACCGTGTCAGATTAATCCCTGGAAAGAAGTAAGAAATTACTTTATAAAATGAATTAAGGAGTAATTTGTATGAGCCGGGAGTGGAATTTAGCTTATACATGTTTGTCTTATCTAGGCGGTGTTGTGGAATTTTAAATGAAACATAACCCCTAGGGGAACTGCTCCACCTCTGGTATTATGAATCTTACTCTGGAGATGTAAACGAAAATGAATGCACTTATATTCGATATGACACATTTCTCATTATTCTCCCCCCAAAATTTCAAATGTAGCTTTACAACTCCGGGCTGCTTTTCGCTCGGCCCCGCTCACACATCAGTCTAGGTCGCCCTCTAGCGGAAGCACTGCTGTATTTACGGAAGTGTCCTGTTCACCACACGCGTGAAACGCGGTGTTTCATAGAGGAAAAGTTCATGCAAGTGTGCATCACAGTCTTACTGTACTTGGTAGAGAATAAAGGATTTTTAGGAAAGCCCCCGAAGGAGACGTTTACGACGCCGCAGGGTTAAGTGCTGTTCTGACCGTCTAGATATCCTTATGCACATCTTCAGTGAGGCAACAGCCCTGGATTTGAAAGAACAAGTTAAGGTGAATTCCCCTGAAACGGAACCTTTTTTTCCCCCAGATGCCCCTGTCGTGTGATATCACTGATCAGCTAAAATACACAGCTTTCAGCTTTCCTGTCCACAGTTCCCCTAACTGACCCCTGCCACCATCATCTCATACCACTGACCACCCGGTCCCCAGCATTAGGGACAAATCCTTGAATTACAGAGTCACAGTGCATCCTCATCTTGTGAGGGTACATCTCCCTGAACCTGATCATGTGATTCCAGCAGGCTCAGTGTTTGCCCCTCAGGCAGTAGTCTGGATCAGTGGGGGATTCATCAGACTGAGAGGGGCTGAATATCAGCATAGTATGTTCATTATCATCAGATCCATAACAGCAAGACTATTCACTTGTGCTGCCGTGTACACATCTTGGATGAGAATATCCTCAATAGGGTGTCTTTACTTTTTTCACATTCAATTAATTCAAATTGCTTAATTTACAACTTTGTTTTACACAGTCCATAGGCACATGCTTCATTGTTCTGTTGAATGTGTTGAATCATATATGATACAGTTACAGAAACTGTAATAAACACAAATGATCCTAAGTATATGTTCAATTATTTCTTTAATATCTCTGTTTGAGGAATGTGGTGAGAGTTGTTAAAGCAATTAAATATCTATTCCTGTCATGTGGTGACAGATTTGGTGTAGTGGACATCTGCATGATAAACCTCTTTAGAACACATTACTATCAATACTGATGAGGAGACTAAGTCTGAGAATGATTGAAACTCCCAAAAAACAGAATGAGGTGAGAACATCCCTGTGATTTTCAAAACCTTATTTAGAAAACAAGTAGCTTCTTTTACAAGTAGCTACTTAAAATCTTTTTTCTAAAATCTTTGCAACTGACAAAAATATTTTTGGGGATACTTAATCATTCGATGTTGAGAAGAGGCAGTAGATAAAATGGAAAGGGAGTCAGCAGGAGACAGGACAGGAATCTCACAAAGACAGGAATACAGGTGTGTGAGAGACAGAGAGACAGAGGGAGGCGGACAGGAGTTATCTACAGAGCCTACATCTTTGCTGGGGTACAATGGCGATCCAGGAAAAAGAGTAACTGCCCAGGTAAAATGATGGTTTTTAAAAGGGGCAAACATTTTAAACTTTCACATGAGGAACCATCACTGACGTTTTGAAATCCTAAAATGTCTTATTAGTTTGCTTCCATCAAGCAATCCTATAAGGGCTCTTATTTGAGTTTTATTGTATTCTCTTATTGAACATGAACGTGGTGAGTTCTAAACAGAACCCAAAGATGATGTTAAATCATTCTAGATTAAAAGGGCGGAGCATGTTACAACTACTAAGAACAAACATTACACCTGAAGAAGGCTCCACAGCCGAAACGTTGTGTTTTCTTCTCTTCTCAGCATGGAATAAATCTATAACTTGTTCCTTTGCAGCCCACACATGCTGATGCAGCTACTCACCCGAACTACTAAGAACAAACATGCATGGTTCTTTGTTTAAAACATGGTGGTTCCAAATTGGCAGCTAAAAAGATAATGAAATGTCTGAAGGGAGACTGAAATGGAAAATGTTTTTTTGTGTTTGGAATTTAAGGTGAAAGAACAGCTAGAATTCTAGGAAGACCATCGTTACAGCAAGCCACTTACAGGAACCAGACTAAAAAAAATTATTGTGGTTTTGAGTCCAAGATGCTATCACCAAACTATCTTCTATCATACTAAATTCTTTGTCAGGATCCCCTGAAAGCCGATGCTTGTAACCAGTGGACTCTGCCCTGGAAGAGTGATGTGGCAGTGCCTGGCACAGATGCTGAAGAAGGCCATTGCTGTACAAAGGCCTTTATTATAATGTTCCACCCCCGACAATTGCGTGAGGCAGCCCTGTTGCACTCGATTGATAACAGCTGTATTGCATGTCTGCGTGTAGCATACAATAAAGATAACAGCGCACCCAGTGTGAGGGCCAGCCAGGACATCATAATTTACTGAGGAGAATAGACTGGTGTCTGGCACATCCACTGCTTAACCACTGATAAGAAGGTAACTATTCCGAGACAGACTGTGCTGCTGTCAGCTGCTTGTATTGGGTCGTTAGGGCATCTTGCTGAGTGATGGGGGGGGGGGGAGGTTTTTTCAGGTTGCTTCTAAACTGAACCACAACAAATTTGTCTAATCATTGGAATGACTTCCATTGCACATTAAGGATAACAGGGCAGCGTTCATACGATCACGTTCAGTCACAGTTTGATTTTAATGTCTTGTATTAAAGATGGTACCTCCTATAGTCCAGTGTCCCCAGTCACCACACTGAGGCATTGGGTTTGAAATTCTGGCCACAGGGAAGAGCACCACCTACTGGCCCATCACTGCCACTTTTAGCAGCACCCTGGTTTTTCTTCAGTTCCAATACTGCCCAGGCCCAGCCTTGCTCAGCTTCTGAGATCTACTCAAGAGAGTAACTCCACTACCAGATTTCAATATGCTGACTAACGTTTTGTAATTGTAGATCTTGACTCAGTTTTTGAAGTAGTGTCTGCAGAGGTCCAAATAACCTAGTTTTTCTAGATCTAATTATCATGATAGAGTATAGTTGACTGACAAACAGTGAAATGCAGCAAATCAGAATATTGTATGCACAGAACAAATCTATTGCTATTTCTAATTTGCGCTGATTTTTCAGGGAACTGTCTGCATTAGAGGTTACCATTTCAATTATGCACATCATATTCAGATCAAGAATTCAGATCAAGATCTTACATTAGGTAATGAGTCATTGGCAGGGTGCACAGTTCACACTACCTAATCAATCCGTCAGGGTTAAAAGGTATGTTCCATATAGATCTGGCAATCTGCCAAGACTATCAGCAGCTCTGGCCAGCTTCCTGCAGCTAATTTTATCACCATAACCCTTTATTAAGCATGATTAGAGCATGTAGAGTAGATTGGCTTTCTGTCACAAATGGTAGAACTTGCCCTCAGTGTAGTCCCTCACCTTTTCTATAAAGGTATGTCTCGTCCTTCCCACATACAAAATTACAGACTAGTGCAATGACACTTTTGTTACTTATTATACTATTATACTATGCTCTTACTGTGATTCCCTATTATTTTAATATGCCTTTGCTCTACATTACCTGTACTTCTGTAGACTATGGACCATACCCATGGTCCAGCGTAGAAATGCACAGTAAAGGCATGGTAGAACTGTGGCAAACCCCAGGAAAAGTCAAACTCATCATTGTAGACTTTCATAAGGAATGTGCGACTTCCCAGATTTTCCCACAGCTGCACTGGGTGAAAAACAGGACAGCACAGAATAGTGGCAAGGGCTTTGGATTCCTACCCAAAAGACTGTGGGCTCAAGGTCTGGCACCAAGGCTTTTTTGGGGTGCAGGTAGCCAATGAGAGAAAGAGGAGCAAGACGAGGGTTGACATTCTCTAACTGGGGGTGGATTCCCACCCCCAGCTCGCTCTGGACTTCCAGAAAACAGGGATGGGAGCGTGCTGCAATAGCAGAAGGTGGCTGGCTGAGGCCCCCACTACAGACACCGATGATGTATCCTTAAGCAACACATTGACTCCATCTAGCTGTAGCTATTCAAAAGGGTACCAGCATTTCCAGGAGAGCAGTGCTGCAATGGATTAGTATCAGCGCAAAGGATAAACATCACTGAAGAGGACTCTCATTCTCTGAGAACATAAAAACAGTGTTGACATACAGTAAACTTACCAGATAACCCACTAAAAATCCTGTATTGGTTATATTTCAGATTTATCAGAATCATAAAAGTACAAAAGTGTCCCGACTTCTAAGCCCCTCATGAGAATGGCACCAAGGAGAAGGCAGAAGGTGATACACTGCTGTTTAGGCTAACTGGAGATCTGAACACTGGCAAAGGATGAGTGGACTCAGAGTCCAGAGAGCTGCACCCATTGCTTCCTGGAACCAGAAACCTCCAACTGATCTTGAAATGAGTCATCTGTAACCTGAAAGAGACCACATTGCCCTGGAAATGGTAGCCTTCAGAAAGTGTTTTGGGCCGATGCATTAAAACCGAAACAATTAGTTCACAGAGGCAGGCATTCACAATAGTTTCCCCGTAACAGAGCAGTGTTATTCCTTTAGAACTGTTTTTTAAATAAAAAAGTTAACTTTTCTAAATGCAAACTTAATCATGATGCATAAAATGTCATATATCCAATTAACACAATAGCACAAGTCTAATTTACGCAAATGAATAAAGACACCAATTTCTTTTTCTAATGAGCAAATTAACAGAATTGCAAACATACTCACTTGGGAGAACTGTGCTGTTCTTTGGATAGTCAGTAGGCAACAAAACCATTAGCATACTAAAGGAAGAGAAGATGTATGCATAAACACAGTATGTCGATTTCCCCAAAAAGCATGTTTTTACATGTTGGAATTGTAAGCTGTAAACACATCTGATAACATGGAGGAAAATGAGATAAGACATGGAAATCTTTACATTAAAGTGGAGATTAAGAACCCTGTAATGTTTTAGGGGTAAGAAATTTAAGTGGAAGGTTCAAATAAGTACTTTGTTGTAGAGCCCCTAATCACCGCCTTTCTTCACAGCCTAATGAACCATCAAAGCAGGAGCTCCATAGAAGACACCAAAGTAACCTGCATCTATTTCAGCATCTATTTCTATTTCATCTATTTGTAAAAGGCAAAACACCCATCAATCCTGCAGTACAGCACCACTCCAACATAGACTGGCATAGGATTAAAAGTGAACAAGAGGATTCAATGAACAGTTTAGTAATAAACTAAACAACTGTGATTATAATCTTTTCAAGAAGCACGCAAAACTTTCTTGGCGTATAAAAAGAATAAGCTGCGGTTTAATTCCCCCTTTTGTCTTCATAGATGCCTGCATTTAATAGGACGCAGAAGCATTTTCTTTTGGATCTCATGACATACAGCCGAGAGATCTCACAGACTGCACACAGCACTCAAAAGCCCTCATCTACTTTAAAATATGCAAAACAAATATTTCAATTTAACTGTGCTTTCAGGAAATCCAAATGGTATACAAAACTAAAATGACCACAAATCCATACATTATAAATGGCTCCAGCAGCTCAGTGTACAGCTCAATCCAGCAAATTTATGGATACGGTGAAAAGAGAAACTACTACTAAAAAGTCAGGAGTCCCTGCTTTGGCTTAGGGTACATTACCAGTGAACTTGTAGCCCGTATTTCCCCATAGATACTAGGGCCTTTATTTTGGAGGTATCATTGTTTTTCCCTCTTGTGCAGTACGTCTCACCTGACGAGAGGTTATAAAAGTTTTATAGCAGGTTACAGAAACTATAACAGCGTTACATGTGAAAGTAAAAACAGCTCAAGCTCCATTTTTTTCCCCAAACCCGCAAAAAAAAAACATCCACCATTTGTATTTTAAAAAACACAAACTTTTATTAATACTTTTCTCTTCAAAGAAATATAAAAGACTGGAGTTATTTCTAAATTTACAGGACAGCATAGTTTTTGCTTCAAAAATGGAAACAAAACCTAGTTGTACAAAGTGAAAAAATAAAGACCCCTGCAATGGCCATACAGTTGTGTGCCATCAGAAAAGACAGGAATTCCTCTTCTATTTATACTTTTGACAAATATGTCTGTGCAAAGAAACAGAATGCATACGGAACACATCGCTGCTACATTAAGGCAAACCCTATGAAGAATAATACACTTAGGAAACATCCTTGGTAAAGTGACAGTGTAGTTTTTTTAATGCTTTTTTTTTTCTCCCATTCACCCCTAGCCTTCAAAAGCAGCTAGTATTGCACTGGCAGATCTACTAGCATCATAAAGATCTCACTAGCTGACCAAAAATAAATAAATAAGAGGGAGTTACAGGTACACACCTGCCAACTGTTCTGAATAGAAATGATTAAAAATAAGGATCTCTTTGTTCTACAAATAGAAATCTTCTTGCATAAAAGGTAAAAAAAAAGGAGCAAAAACAAACATACAGGTTGGGGATTTATCAAATTCCGATTTCATCTGGACCTTGATCTTGGTTTAACAGCATTTTTACTAGAATTCCACTCAAGTGGTCTCTGCTTGTCTCTGTTAATGGAGTGTCTTTCTGTATTAGTTAGGCTTCCACAAATTTATTCCAGCTCCGTCTACGAAATGTGCTACCAGAATCTGAGCATCATAAAAGCATTTCGCCACCTATGCTAGGAGAGTGAAGTTGGCTTACTGTAAAGCTGGAGTTGAGAGTTTCAGTCTCTGACTAATAGAACACCTGGAGTGTACAGGACACATTTCAAACACAGACCTCGGCAGTATTTGGCAAAAAGAAAACCTATTTAAATACTGATGTAGATAAGTCCACTGTATTCCAGATGATTGATCTTGTACTAGGTTTGTACCCTCTCTCCCAGAATACCATTACTGTTGAAAACTCAATATCAAAACACACTGGATGCAACAAAATGTACATGTAAATATTGCAGCTCACAGAAAATAGACTCTCAAGAATTGTATGCATAAAACAAAAACATTAAAAGAAAAGTTCTTAAAATGAACTCTAACAGGAGTAAAAGGCATGAGTATGTTTCCATTACAGAATAAAATAATTTCCTCTTCTCATTACAAACGTTTTGGGCAGTGTGCCAAAAATAAAAGGCAAAATTCTGAAACCAAAAAAGAAACAATTCTAAGATTCACTCCACTAAATCTTATCAGGTCAACTGATACAATTTTGTTAAAAAAATTATACATTTAAAAAAAAAACATTTTCCTCATTGGCATTCCTGAATGTTCTTGTAACAGAAACCAATTAATTGCCATGCCGAAAGTGCCAGGCAGATGGCGCTGCGGACTGATTGAGATTGTTTTAGCCTGAAGATAACAAAAAAAAAAGGCTTTATGTCTGGCACATCTTGTCGCTTTCGTTGAACTCCCTGGCAGAACAGTTCTGTGGTCCGGCCGCTCTGTGGATCGGTAGCGGTGCTGTGCCTGTCACGGCCAAGTCGAGCAGACTCGTACAGGTAGGCAGATAAACGTGCTGAATGTGCTCCACTTCGGATCGGCACACTGGGCACAGCTGCGGAACAAAGGAACAGACAGATGAAGACTCGGAAAGCGCACGTCAGCCCTCGTGTGTAAACTGTTGTGCTGCCAGAAAACTGCAACCCTGCCCCTTTGCTAAATCTTGCCCGCGCAGGCATTTCTTTCAACAAAACCATCAGCTGAAGTCCTTCATTTTCATCTGCACGGGGCCTGCAGGATGTCAGTCATGCAAAATGCTACGATTGCAATTATCCCGTAGACAGGGCTACACTTTTGTAAATCTTTACTTTTGGCTGAAAACAACGGAAATAAGCATGAGAAGACCACTAGGCTCTTCCAGCCCTTGTGGTAGTTAGTAGTTAATTGATAGGACCTCATCCAGCTGTTTCCTGAAAGAAGCCTGGGTATCGGCTTAAATTATACGGTAGGGGCATCTGGAACGAGCTACCACAGCCCTGTAAGTAAAGAAGTGCCTCCTGTTCTCCATTTTAAAGACACTTCCACATGACTTCCCTGTGGTCCATGCTTCACTGTTCCTTCAATGCAACACTTGGAAGAAAGCGGTGAGCTTATTACAGGGAGAAAAATCAGCCTTCAAAACCAAGGCTGATGAGTAATTCTTTCAACTATAAAAGAAGAAAACCAACTGTAAAAAGACTAACGCCACACAACACAAGGCTGCCGAGATACACAAGTACATAAGACGGCCAGACTGGCTATATTTTCACAGACTAACAAGCACACGTGCCCTTGAATGTACAATGGGGAATGTCAGTGTAAAAGAGCACTGAAAGCACCTCTTTAATCAAAAGATGCTATGTTATCCGTTGCATCCTCAAGCACGGCTTTCAGTGCATATCGTTTTACTTCAGCATATTACTCCTACTTCAGGGTCTGAAACTCAATCACAGCTTAGAGAATATTAAGAAACGATGGGATTAGAACAACCACAATTCTACTCCAGGCCAAACTGAGGGATTTCAGATCCAAACTGACAGACGGTACACAGCAGAATACTAGGCGAGAAAGATAACTGGCGCGGGGACCAATTAAGCTTGAACATCAGAACCGGCTAATGTCACCACTGTTCTCTTTGAGCTTCTGGCTGCCGTTATCTCTCCCCTTAAAAGAAACAAAACGCATTTCGCAGCTTGAAAAGACACGCGTGCTTTGCTCCAGCCGTTATGAAATGCTCGGGCGCTGCAGGGGGAAGCGCTGGGAGCCCGAAGGCTCTCTCCAGGAGAGGAGTACAAGCAGCCGGACGTACGGCATCAGTCAGGGCGCGCGTGCGGCTTACCTGCAGCTGGCTGGCGCAGGACTGGCAGCAGACCATGTGCCCGCAGGGGCAGAAGGCGGAGTTGATCTCCTCCTCGCAGCACAGCACGCACAGCAGCGCCTCCCGCAGCTTCTGCAGCCTCTCCTGCAGCGCCCGGCTCTGCCGGCAGCTCAGGCCCTCGCAGCTGGCGCAGGTCAGGCCGCCCTCGGCCGGGCCCTTGAGCGGCGAGCCGGGGGCGCTGCGCCCGCCGCGGGGCGCCAGGTCCACCGCGCCGGCGCGGTACAGGGCGCGGCGGGCGGGGTCGTAGGCCTCTTTGGACGTGCGCCGGATGTCGAAGACGTACTTCTTGCCCAGGTTGATGTTCTCGTTGAGGAAGAGGGAGGCCAGGTGGCCCTTGAAGTCCCGGCTGTACTGCATCATGACCGCGCTGGTGACCGTGTCGCACCTGCAACACACCCAGACCGCACAGCGAGCGTCAGGCCTCCGCTTCTGCCTTGAAGCTTCACCCCGTCTGCTGCTTTCTCAACTTTACTTTACTGTAACTGCTCTCTGGGTTCATTCTGGATTTAAAAGTGAATGCGAGGGATGCTAACGGAACCGCAGTCTCACTAATGACTTCAGAGAAAAGAGCAGCACAAATGAGACATTCCACGGTTCCATTCTTTACCCCTCTGCTCCTACTGTACTTAGAACCACCATCTACTGTCTCCTCTGCGTATTCTCATCGTGTTTATCTTGTGTATTTATTGTGTATTTTTAATTGTTGTCATTCTGTAAAGTGCTTTGAGAAACCACCTTTAAAGGCATTATATAAAATAAAGTTTATTATTATTACTACACACTAAGGGCACTAGTTAACACGCTGTACTCAACAAGGAGCATATTATTCTTTCAAGCGAGTGCACAGAATCGACGTTTAAACCAGCCTAAAAAGGAGCCTATGGCCAACTGTACCACTCGCCTCACTTTGGAAAGCTGGAATGGACACGGGCATTGTTTTGGAGAATATTAACATCGGACTGATGAAAACCACCAAGGAGAATAATGGGAATGCCGGGTGTCTGTTTTTAAAATAATATTCTCTCTTCACGGACACAAAACCTGAAATGGACAGCATCCCTTATGCATAACAAATGGCAGCGGGAGCGACAGGATATTAAATTAAATAAATTGAGACACCGGCACCACGTTCGAAAAAGGAGACAATCCAGTCATTTCTTCCTTTGCCAGTGTCAGGCAAAGCCAAGTCATTTGCATGGGCTTTAATTAGCCTTGATGGCTGCTAGCAATTCAATGAACAAAGCAATCAAGAAAATTCAAGAAGCTTCCCAGCACTTAATTGTTTCGAATGCGTCTGAAGGCCGAGATGAGTTGAAAATTGTGGCAATGGTTATTACATGCCTGGCATCTACGGTCTACCATGTTTTGAGTGCAATTAGAAACCCTAATTTGACAGTTCTCGTTCTCAGCGCCCCCTCCTCTTAATTTTCATTAACCCCTCTTCTCCCCCATGGGTACAGACCACAGTGTACTGAAAACTGAGGACAAGAGGCTCTATTTTACATAAAGTGTGATGGGAGAGTGGAATAAAGCCGATAACCCGATTTGTTCCACAAAAGGGCTGGATGAGATTCTGGGTTCGATAAACTGCAGAACTACAGAACAGGTAGGACAGGCTGAATGGTCTCCTCTCGTTTGTAACCTTTCTTAAGATAGGCCTTCTGTCACTTCACGAGACGCCTGCACCAAACTCAGGTTTGAAAGCTCGAGTTTATGCAACATTAGCTTCCCCATAACCCATTAATTAATGAAGAATAATAGCCAGGCACCCAAGGGTGGTCTTTGCAAGAGGGAGAAAGGGTTCTTCAACATGACAAAAAGGAGGCGCATGGGAAGAACAGAAAGTTTCAGCAAGTAATCCGTTATCACGCACAAATCGCTTCAAACGCCATCTTCACAAATCCAGATGAAAGTAATGGAAAGAAGCACTTGAGTCTATGGAGACAGGAAAATGCCCATTTTGTAATCCTGTCCACTGATGTGGAAAAAGTAGAACGAAACTAAAGCAGGAAAGATGGAATAGCTGGGGACGATTTAACTGCGCCTCAATGAGGACAATTTATAGCAAACGTAACATGGCTTTCTTTTAGAAACTTGTCACGAGAGAAGGTCAGTCAACATGCATAATTCAGTGCAAGGCTCTCTTTTCCTCAGACAGAAGCACACCTTTCCCCCTCTCCTTCAGGTGCAAGTTAAAAATTAACGATCTGGCAGTACCTGTAGAATGCATGGGTTTCCGTTATTGCTCTGTAAAGTCCACTGGCGGCTCTGGTGCTGATGAGCTTGAACATCAGAACCACGCTGTTGCTGGTTTCCTTCGTGACCGTCAGGTAGACGTTCTTTCCCGACTGAGTTGCGATTTGAATGATTGGGTACGTGATCCTGAAAAAGGGAAACGGATTCAGAATGTACAAAACGCTTCCCAAATGGAAACTTGAGAGGTGCACTGAGAAAAAGCAGGAGGGATTTCTGTACACGAAAAGGGGTGGGTGTCTGCAACAGGCAGCCCAGGAGCCATCAAAAAACAGCTAGACAAGACGGCAGCAAACTACTTACAAACAGCCTCATTCTCATTTCTAATTTTCTGGGGTCTCTTGTGCTTAGCTGAGCCCTTCTTCAGTCAATTTATAATCGGACAGGCCCCACAGCGCTGTACCGAAGTAGAAACCCATGCTTATTACTTTAACACTAAAAAACCAACAACATTCTCCGAATTGAAAGCTACAGTTTTTGATTCCCTGTAGTAGCGGAGGCAATGCTTTTTAATCTACTTCATGTCCTCATTTGAGATGTCACACTTGGTAAAAAAATAAGCTTCTGCGTGCTGTCTCACCTGTTCATGACGCTGAAGTCTTCTTTGCAGACGGAGATGCCCTCTGGCCCCACTCCAATCGCCAGCTTCTGCCCCTCTGCGTCCCGTGCCAAGTGCCACTCCACCCCGTAGCTCTCCAGCGAAGACACTAGCTGCAGAACCTGGTACTCTACCGATGCGGGGCTCATTCCCTCCAGTGCTTTGTGCTTTGCAACAATGCTGTCGAGGCAAAAAGAAAAGAAAACACTCGCCCGTCAGCACCCAGCCAACATTTTCCAAGAGGAAATCGAGCAAATACTCCAAGCGGCTGGCTGCCCCCTGGCCACCTCTACATGACCAAAGGTCCTTCACACCTCCCTG